TTGTGAACCCAATAGGTTCCGAGGCAAGTGCCCACCTAGGCCTGATGAACCCTTAGGCCCTGGCCAGAGTAGGTTTGGCCGACTGGGAACCTGTCCACTCTGGCCAGGACCACCAAAATATGGATCTCACCACACCTTCCGGAAATGGACGGTTTAAAGCGAAGGCGAATGCGGCACACGAACCTATCGATAACTTCCCCGTGAACCCAATAGGTTCCAGGGAAGGTGCCCAATAGGCCGCCAGAAAGTTAGCGGAGCCTAATCCCCTACAGACGACTAAGGCAGAAATTTAGACCTCGTCGTCAGTAGAGGACAACCGAACCGGCAACCCTCGGACTACCGTAGTTCTGGAAGAGAAGCCTCCTAAACCTTGCTAGTCTGGACCTTCGCACGAAAGGCGGTTTCTCCGCGCAGATCAGCATGACCTGCTGTTCTGCACGGATAATCCACTCCGGCAGAAGACTCTGGAATCCAACCTCAGATGGATCCCTCGGATAGACCCGATAAGTACGAGTTCAACCTGGACCGTACCGGACGTCTCCCCTGGTTTCCCCTGGATGAACCGGACGGAATGCTCCGGTCTCTGGCGACAATGACAGGAGGCGAACCGAGCCAAGCAGCGAGGGGATGCAACCGAACTAAAGGGTTAGCCGACCCCCAACGGTTAGCTGGCTCCAGCTGGATCAGCGACTCCGCCGACCCGCTATCCCCGAAGCTAAAAAGGGAACATCATAGGCCGTGGTAGAAGCCCGACCCACCATTGACTCAGGGAGTAGACCCCAATAGGGATACCCCCGATGTCCAACCCTCCGACCCTCGGACTGGCAGGGTCGAACTTATTGAAAACCTCGGTTCACCGGGATAAATCGCACGAATAGCGGCTGGCTAGCGGTGAACTGTGACTACACAATTCATCTCTCGTCAGCCACTCCGGCAGAAGGATCCTGGAGGCTGATCCCCGGATAAAAAGGAACGTCATATCGGGAAGAATCGTACGAATAGCGACTTGGGCAAGCACAACTGCGTACGTACGCAACTGTCCTTGCTCAAGTCCCTCCGACAGAGGAACCCCGGATGATCCGTTCCGTAACTTGGACTATAGAGCCCAATAGGCTCTTACTCTCAGATCTTAATAGCCCGGACCTCGTGGATATAGGCAGCGAAAACGTCCTATATCAGCAAGGCCCTGGTGACAGCCTCAATATCGGACCCTTCGCACGAAAGGAGGTTGTCCAGGGGTTCCCAGCATGACCTGCTGAGCACTCCTGCTCAAACCCAGCCGGCAGAAGGACCCGGTGGACATACGGTTCCATAACTCCAACCCTCGGAGCCCAATAGGCTCTTATCCCTCAACCGAATGCGGACCGTCTGGATCGGGAAGCGATATCTCCTGACCAAGCAATCTGCACGACTCAGCCGAGTACGGATCACGGCGACCGGGGAAGAAATACACCCTCGGTCGGTGGATCCGTATACCCTATTTCCGGAACTCAATCCAAGAGGATTCCGCAAACATGGCGCTGAAATAGCGAATTTCAGCACCATGTTCGCCACCGACCCATGGACACCCCGGGAATCGGAGTAATAGCTGGTTGACTGACCGTCACTCGAAGTCAGCACGAGAGCCCAATAGGCCTCGGCAGCATAACTCCGGCGGAATCCATCGCACGAAAAGCGACGGGACGGTGCTGCGCGGCGCGATCCGCTTCGCTCCACCGGCCTGTCCCTCCGGCAGAAGGACCCTCGGAGGAAGCAAGCCATCGCAGATCGCGTATAACCACGATCTTTACCTCACCAAGGATGCCTTTCGAGGCCCAATAGGCCTCCATCCCACACCGGACACGGATGAAGTGGGACATTAGGGCACACTCACACCTTTACCTCAGCTCATGAAGCTGGTGGAAGGTGGGAGTGACCGGCATGACCATTTCACCGCGAATTGGACTGTGGTCACCGGAAGGATGTACCAGGACGTTAGGGCACTCGTTAGTCCCCTGAATAGCTATGACAGCCCGGCAGAGGATTGACGAGTCCGGCACGACTGCACGCCCAGAAGGAGGCTACGGACGCCCATAACTACGCCAACAGGCTTAATAGGCCTTTAGCCCCAGCATCATTCCGGCATCCCGGGTGTTTCCGCCTAAGTGGAAGCACGGGATCAGCCGAGGAACGGACCAGCATGGATTCCGTCTTTAAAACCCAGAGTGTCTACCTCGTGGCTCAGACCCAATTAGGTCTTATACAGCCGCTGAGGAGCCTCTTTTTGCATGATTTTTGCTAGTCGCCCGGTGGACATCTCCAGCAACAAGCGGACTCCCACCAGAGCATGTTGGGCCAGTCTCATCACCGAGGCTCGGACCCTGTCCAGAGGCATCAACCCTCTCCATGTTACCCAATAGGTGACGGGAGACGTTAAAAAGGGTTTTGCCCGGGCAGAATGCCTTAGGACCAGCCTTACCAGATGCTGACTACCTCACCACCGAAGCTACCCCGGACACAGAGGCTGCCCCGGGTAGGAACTTCATCTTACCGGTGCGACCCTCGGTAGAGTTGCCCAATAGGCGACCTACACCGTCAATAAGGGTTTTGCCGGGAGGAAATGACTATCGGACTATCAGACCGTCAACTATTAATCGACCGAGGCCAATCTACCCTTGGACCCTCGGACCTTAACCTTCCAAGTCCGGAACCCACTATCTCTGAGTCACCCAATAGGTGACAGGAGATATATTCGGGATTTTCGACCGGACAGAACACCCAGCACATCGCGTAATTACGCTCTGCCATCACAGCCGAGGGTACATCGGGACTTTACCTCGAGTACCGAGGCTGCACCCATCGACCTTCCGAACCCCGGCGATCATCCTCTCCGAGTTACCCAATAGGTGACAGGAGACGAACATAGGATTTTCAGCCGGACGGAACATCCTTGTACCCATTTGCCAGTGCAGCCGAGGGTACAACTCGGACTCTAACTTGAGTACCGAGGCTGCCAATTGGACTTAGACTCAGCAACCGAGGCTGAGCTTGGACTTTGATTTTGCAACCGGAGCTGACCCTCGGGTACCGAGGCTACCATCGGACTCCAACATTTTGAGGCTAACCGGATACAGGGTCGGACTCCCGCACAGAGACCATACCTTTCGACCATTCAACCCCAGGGAGACCAGGCATTAACCGGTCCTTGTTGTCCAATAGGCGACAGGACACACCTTTACGGTTTGCCTGGCTCGAACCTCGGATCACCGGATTTCCCCGGAGGATCCACCGATCAATAGACCCAATAGGTCTTATTCTGCACTCAGAGGGGGTACCTTACGGTATTCGCGAATGCGACAGTGCCTCTCCATCAACCTCACCTGATGAACCTCGGCTGGACGTAAGTACGACTCGTCTTACCCGGCTAAGAAGGTTCCAATCAAACTTCTACCGGAGGATCCCGGTCGGAAAGTGTGTTTCACGCCCGTTTCGCACCCGACAATGGAGATCCATACTCTTACCCGAAGTCAATAGGGTCGAACCCTCGACCCTCGGTGAATTGAACCGGTACCATTGGGTATCCCGAGAACCGATGCCTCGGACCTAGATGACCGGACTTCCAGTGGACTGGAGCCCCCGTGAAGCGGACGAGCTCTAGTCGGAATAAGCACCCGGCCCAAAGCCCCGGACCAAAGACTTTGAGTTTACTTTTACTAATCTCGAAATGATGTTCTCATTTTATTGATCTTTTTTTAACCTGCTCACCAGGAATTGTGATGTTATTTTACTAGAGAGAGACAGACAGATGGAATAATACTTTATTTTTTTTTTACTTTTCTCGCCGTTACGGACTCGACCAACAGATGCCTACACCGGTCCAACAATACCACCGACCGACCTTCGGATTTCGGCCGTGAGTTGTATCGCCACCACGGGTCCGGAGGAGAACGCGGCGCGAGATACCCCATCATCGGATACTTCCGAGGCGCAGCCACCGACCCCAATAGGGTCGTGTGCGGAGCGGGCACTGGAGCGGTATGAGGCCGGTCCTTCGCAGGGGCTCGGACTCCCGCCCAGAGGCATGTTGGGCCAGTCGCTATGGCAGCCTACGAGCAGGCAGCCAGCGACAGTCCCGCTTCCGGTGTGCTGACTCACACCGAGTCGCACTCGCTGTCGAGCGCTAGATCGGCCTCGACTCAGGCAGCTTTCCGCCCAGCCTTACGTCTCGGCCAATCATCGGCCTCGATGTAGGCGGAGCCACGCCCCACTTCTCCATCTCGGCCTATCAGCGTTCGTTCGCTCGTGTTGGATCTGCCCAGTATGCCGCATAGGCTTTTCCCATGCTTTGGCTCGATATGCCGTTCACTTTGTTCACTAGCATTATCATTCACTGTACTTTCACGATACTGCTCGCACCTCGAGCCTTTGTGTTTTGGTTCCTCACTTTATTGCTATCCACAATAAAGCCTTCTCTCACTATCGTGAGCCTTTGTTCGCCTGCTGTCACACTACTGCTGGTTGAGCGCTTTGAGGTTGGTTTTATCCATTAGTCAATACTGTCTATCTGGGGCGAATACGAAAGTTGCTAAAATTATAAAATACTGCGCAGAAGCTACCAACCGATCATTCGAACCGTCGCGGGAAGCGTTCGGCATCTGACCATGAGTACCATATAATGCAAACACGCAGTTGGAGGTCTTGTGGCAATCACACCCTTGATCACCCACCCAAACCTTGATAGCAAAATGTTTATTCCACACATGGAACTATCATATTATTGATTTTACGGTCACACCCATGCTTGTTAAAATGCGCCATCTGGCGCTGCACATATATCGTTGCCCTTTTGTGCTCGGGCACGCTTTCCTGGTCAATGGGTGCACTCTTTCGAATTTTCAACCGTTCATATCAGGTCATACACGTCTACGCTGGTTAACGTTGTTGCCGGGCGACCGCTCTTGCCGGCCGTTCTACTCCACTCATCTACGCCATTTAAGCATCTAACAAAACCCTTCGAGAGTCCGCGAGTTTTTTCCATTACGGTGATCGTATCGGCGGGATTGACACAGCTTAGCGGGAATGTTAAGATGGAATGCTCTTACATTGCATGTATCTGTATTGCGGTGCAGATTTTCTGCATCTTCGTTATTTTCTGCACCCGTTGTTTGTAAGTCACTGAAAAGAACGTTGCGACGCAAGAATTCAAAGGTCAGTTTAGATGGTTTGCGATGTAGTATGTATTTGTCGTACGACGCACTGCATGTGTGACACCATGTACCCATTCAGCAATTACATGGTTAAGAACTTAAGATCTGTTACAGCTTCCGTCCGACGCTTATACTCGTAGTTAAAATCCTGATTAGCACGTATTACAATAACACTGGAAGTTCACTGTACTTGTACGCTTAAAATACCTCGACAACCGTTGTATTCCTCCCATAAAAGTAATTTATTTAACCACACAGTACCTTTTTCCAAACCGGTGTCATAATGACGCAGTTACCGAGGACATGCCTGTGGCTCATCGAGTAAAAGTTATTAATTGGTAAAAGATGTGAAACGCGTCGGCCATGGAACACTTAATGCCACTTTGCCAAAAAAATTTGAACGTCATTATCTGTAAGTCCTATGAACTTTTGATTGGAGTTTATCTTGATACGGAAAATATGCCAGCATGCGCCTTGCAATAAACCAAACGTATATTTTCCGCACAACCTGTGCGTTCGGGTCTTCCATTTGATTTGACTATAACTTATGGTTCTAGAGCTATAACAGTATGCGAGTGTCCCAGACCATTTATATAATGGTGATAGCGCCGCGAAAACACGTCACATGCATCGCTGCAATTTTAGTAGAAGTACCGATTAACACTGTGTTGTAACCGTAATTATATGCACTTTCTTTTTCGCATAACAGTAAGGAAAATGGTATATGTGTAGGATTGGTGCGGATGGTTTTCCCTTGTCACGATGGGTTATTCCATTTCCGGCCGAGTTGTACTGCTCATGTTTTTTCGGGTAAAGGAAACAAAAATGTACCCTTTGCCAAATCATACAATTACATTAGCAGCATGGATGTTTTTCTGCAGATCCTGCAATCGAATGCGCAGATCTGGGGGAGCAATTATCGCATCGAAGTGCAGTTTGCGCGTTTTGACAATCCGTACGGCATAATCAGCAATGGAAAGCGCTGCGATGTTGCTACACGTTGCGACCCAGTGCTGTACTCGTATATCGATATGTGAGTCAAATTCTGCAGCAAAAAAGTTTGCATAGTGCTAATTATAATACAATCATGTCGGGAAGTACATTATTTGCACTGAATTTTAATATTTCGTGCACATCGCAATTATTTTCATCAGTTTTTTAAAATGTTTGAACTTTCTGTTAATTTTAATCCGCTTACATAGCTGACATAGCACTGATAATACTTCGTTGCAAACGCATTTTCCCGTTGCATTGATTTTTGCCTTTTGTTTGCTGTGGTAGTGCATATGAAATAAAGCATGCAGATATCTTTTTGTCGTTTTTGAAATTTTTTATAGATTGCACTAATTTTATTGGCGTTTAAATTGGTGCTAAAATATGTGTGCCACGTTACATAAAGACCCCCCAACGTTCGTGTACAATTGGCGATTATACTGACACTTTCGATTATTTTCAGCGATAATCCAAGCGGAAATTTTCCAGGAAGTGCGAGATCTCTGGGCGACTTTCAGTTATTTCTGGATAGGCGCGACGCTAATACGGTCAATATGAATGCACGCATCATAAAGAATGTCTGCAATCGACTGCGACTTCCTGAAGTTAGTAAAAATTATACACGACATCCATAATTATGATCATGATCGGTTACGGTAATTGGTATAACCTTATCAAACTGCATTACCTGATTATAAAGGTGTGGTACACTATAAAGTACCGTTGTATATTGTAATAGTTCTTTTAGCAAACAAAAACGGCATCAAAAGTTAGTTGTTTAAGGAGTTCTATCAACCATAATTACTGTCTTTATTATTGTAAACTTTTAGCTGCATATTGACAAATTATTTCGGGAAGAACGGCCATGTTCGTTTGCGATTCCCTTCTTGTTTGTATAATATAAAAGGAAATGTGTAAATCTCCAGCTGTGTGCATTCACCTTGTTCACTTTTTTCAGACGGTTAACGCCCGTGTGGAAGGATTTGATTATGATTATTTCACGCGTTGGGATGTCATTGAGAATTTTGAGTGCATATTTCCCTTCATACCATCGCCGCGCGAAGACATGATTTGGTCCGATCTGTCGGAATGCCGTTCCATTTACCAGCCCAAGCTGATTAAGTAATAATTTCACAACTTACAAGTTAGATGTAATTGGCACGTAAATCCGTTATTAGTAATAATTTATTGTACATTTAAACCTGCTTAGTACAAAAGCATTTTATATACCAAAAATTTAATCGATTGACCGGCGCGCATCATATGTACGAGTATGCAATCTGCAGTATAACTTGGTTAAATTGATGCATTTACCATTTATTTCACATACAAGAACCTCACATTATGCGAAGCCGCGAAAGCAAAAGTATTTACACATACATATTTACCAGAAAAATAAAATCGTAACAAATTATTTACAAAACAGTTGGCATTGTTGTACTTACGTTGAATAAACCTTAACTAGGAAATTATTTCACCAGATTGTACTACCGCTGGCGAATCTTCCCTATCCGCTACGGTGAATGTCAAAGCCAGCAGGAACTCCTTCCCGTGGCGCGTTCACCCTCCTCCCCACCGGTGCTGGTCCTCTCTCCCTTTATCCGCGGCCTGTTTCCGCAGACGACCCTTTCCCCCGGCGTGACCTTTCCCACGGCGCGCACCCCCGCCACCCCGCGCCCCAGCACGGCAGTACCCCTGGTTAACAGCACGGAGGAGCCGTTCTACGACTACCACGATGCCTATGAAATTATTCCAGCCGGCGAGGAGCGCTTAGTGGTGGATAGTATTGCGTGAAGCGCGGCATTGCAGGGTGAATGTGTTCAGCGCGGTGTTGCTGCAAAGCACTGATGTACATCAGTCATAGAAAACGGCCGGTGGTAATCACAGGTTGATCTAATAGATCTGATAACGTAGTGGAGTTAAATGTACGGGTTTTGGGCTTATGCAGTAGAGTAACAAGTTTACTTAATTGACGATTGCTGGATTGGCGCGTTTAGCGGTGTTTTCTTTTTTCTACTGTGCTTTTTAGGTTTTGTTAATACTGGCGTGATATTCACTGTGCACGGTGCAGAAGTTCCTATATGCATGTTTTATAATACAGATTGTATTAAAGTATTTAGAAGTAATTGACTATTCCTGTTTTGTGTACATTAATTTGTAGGAAGATATTGTGAGCTTGCAGTTGCTGTAGTTAAATCATTGCCATAATTGTGCTGCATTATGCAAATTTTGCATCAATGTGACTGACCGGAAGTGCCAGCTTTCGCTTCGTGCCTGGAAAATTACGATAATAACTGTCGGTAATTTATGACACACATATATTTCCTGTAACCGTATTTCCGTTTCTTTGAGCGACGATATTTATTATAGGTTCACGAACAGTAAATAAAGCAAATCTCTTTGTACGCACTACGCAGTCTGAGATCACCCAAATTAATGGGAATTAAATGCCGGTGCCGGGAAAAATCGATGTGTACGTGGTATGCTGCATGAGCGCATCCCGCAGTTGCGTTTGGATTTACTAATCATCTGCGCAATTTTTATGATGGCATAATCCACTTTTATACAGAACCGAGTTTTATTTCTGTTAATTGCTCATGTACAAATGAGTAATATAATATGGCGAGATTTCCATCGCGATTGCGTACCGCCGCGCGCTTGTTGACAACATGCTTATCCGATCCCATGCGCTGTTTCCCGTGAATATCAGCATGATTCACACCGCAGTACGACGTACTGGATACGAAATTAACGGCAACGTGTGTTTTGAAAGTAAAAAGGGTACTATAACTTCTGCAGCACGTATATAAGGTTCCTGGATTGAACCTCAGTTTTTTTAACAAATTTTTGATGAAGTAAAAATCCTTTATACAAGCTTTTCGCTTCCAGCTTTACTAACATTTCAATTTTCATTTAAGCGTCCAAGAAATTTTCTGAATAGATTGCTTTTTGATCGATTGCAGTTCCTGTTACAGTTCGGCACGTTTCTGTAGGTAGCGTGACATAGAGCAAAAATGGCTTCCTTCATATATTGCATTTTGTTTCCGGCTTTGGTAACGCTGCTGGTAAGTAAAAAATGTATGTTTTGCGCACATTCTGAGGGAAAGTATCAAAATAAAAATTAATTGCCGCATTGGCTTACGGTAGTAACTGGTAGTCTGTATATTAACTGGACCAACTTTGTTATTACCAATATTTCATCATATTCGTATGTGCACTGTTTTATGTATCAACTACCTTTATCAGTCGTATTATTAGCTGTAAATTGGGTGCTCCTTAGGTGCTGGCATGGGCTGACCAGGACAGGGAACAGGGCCACACATTCTACGGCATCGAAACGGAAATCATCGACCTCTTTAATAATCAAGGCCAGATTAGCAATGGGAAGTTTTGCGATGTTATGACGAAATGCGATCCGGTGATTTATGGATTTATCGATATGTACGTTAAATTTTCCATGCAGATAACAAACTTTAAAATTACGATTATATAAACCCTCGAGTGCAAAAGTGCGCAGTATTTAAGCATAAAATGTAATGCAAAATGCAGTTGCGCTATACAGAGTACATAAACGACAGAAGATAATTGAGAACCGTTACCGGATATATGTCTATTGCTCATGATGCATATATAGAAAATTATTTTTAGTGAAAAGCCTATTTCCCCATGGCCCGGTGCGATCCGCCGTCTGGAAGACCACGAGTACATTGGAGGTCACACCAACACTGACAATGTCAGACTGAATAAAATCATTGGCAAAGTCATCTGCGGTGGCGCCTTTAATGTACGTTTTCTATGCATAACTGTTCGAATCGTCTGAAAGATTTTAACAATACGTTGCATAGTTACCACAAAATCTTTATATCAGCTTTGAATTGAATTTTCTAACGACACTTTCACCGCTATGCCCATGCTCTTTCTTCCCGTAATGTCAACGTCGTGAACTATATTTATATCCTCGTTGACTTGCAGACAGTTAACCTGCGCGTAGAAGTCTACGACCACGACATCTTCACCCAGAGCGATCTAATCGAGCAGTTCAACTGCTTCTTTGTCCCGCACATTGTGGCCGACAGTCCATTGTTGTCGACCTGGAGTGAGACCCGCGTCTGCAAAGGCATCCATAATCCCAATAATACCCGGTATGTACACGTACAATCCCTGCTATTTCGGCATTTCTAATGATTTACCGGCAAATTCCCCTGAACGCTTTTCTTCCAGATTAACATATCGCTGGCGTCTGCATGCACTGCCGGCGTCCGCCTGCGGACTGCGGTATAACGAAGCGCTGACATTAGCCAGCCAGCAGAAACCCAAACGAGCTGTTGTATAAGAAGGACATGGGATGTGTTAAAAGATTAAGTACTTATTTGTTTTCTGATGCATTCACTGGCGGAAAGGGAATTAGCGTGTCGCTTGTAACGCACTTTTCTAATATTAATCTCAGACGAAGAATTGGGTTTTTACGTTTAATTATTCGCGTACTGAAAGCGCAGTACGTTAGTCCAATATTATACTGTACCGGCTTTGCTATGTATAATACATGATGTTCATCCAGATTCCAGAGCAAGTAAATTAAAGGGCCGACCAGTTCTTATGTACAGTTAAATTTATACTTTATACATAAAATATATTAAAACTTTATCGAAACGTAATAAATTCAGCTAAGATTACATAATACATAGCAGTCTGTACCCTTTTAAACATTAAGTGGTATAATTCGATGGAATCAATAACTACGAGTTCATGATATTGCACTTGTGGTTCATTAATGACTGCATTTAAGCTGAAAAAGATTAAATTTTCCGTTGCAGGCTTTCACGTACACAGAGCTATGCAGATCTAATGCGTGCAATGGGTGCGTTTGCATATAAAATAATGTTTACCATGACAAGCTACTTTAATTTTTAATCTTATGAAATACATTCCAGTAATGTAACCACAATTTCATATAATCATATTATTTGATTACCCAGGAGTGCGCAGAATCGTATCGCATAAGATTGTTTAAATCTGCTGCTCGTTAATTGAATTAAATTCTTGAGAAAAAATATAATAAGGAAAATTGTGTCATAATAACTATTATTTGATTACCCAGAAGTGCGCAGAACCATGTCGCATAAGAATTGTCTGCAGATCGATAATCGAATTAAATTCTTGAGAAAAAAATCGGTAAATATATTAAGGGAAATTGTGATACGTAACCTTTACAAATTAAGTGCCTTCACTTCCTGTGCGCGTCTATTGCTAAAGGGCAACTGTGTTGACCGGAAAGGAAACATAAGATGTAAGACATCTTAATAAATGTCGACCGACTGACGCAACATTCAACTGTAAGATGATATGTGCTACGGCTGGATGTTGAACGTTGTCCTATAAGCCCAACTTTGCCGGCAGCAACAAGCACGCAGCTTCCGGAAATTATTCTAATCACCTTGGGTTAGCGTTATGACACACGTCAGTTTGGACATAAAGCAATGATAATGCCGATAAAATTTTATACCCTTTTAATTTAAATAAAGGTTATTGAATCGCATAATATTGTTCAGTTTCCGCTGGTACGCAAATGACCCAGCTTATGTTATACAGATAAGATACTTTATTGATGTATATGCTTTGCAATAATTTTCATAAGACACTTCGTCGTACAGACGAACTATAATCGGTTTCATGGTTTCTTAAGGTTTCTTCTTAACATTTCTATACATAAGGCGTGGATGCTGTTAAAATAGAGAACAGCCCATTATTACTGCTATAATTTTTTTTTGTTTTTCGAACACAGACCGCCATCACAATGGAAGGTCAATTTATTAAGATACACAGCATTTGTTGTAGCATTATAATACATTTTAAGATTTTAACGATCCCAATACAGAGGCAATTTTGGGATTATCCAAATTAAGCAGCACAGGCGGCTAAGCAAATCATGCTAACGATTACATATTCTGGCGTTTATTATACAGGAGCTTGCTTTCCAAAAGGCGGATCAGCTGGGTTTTGCAAGCAGTATATTCCACACAGAAAATTCTCAATGGACCGCTGTTCATCGTTATAATGTTGCTCCCAAAGTCTCGTTCGGGTTTTGCAGCATCAGCCAGCCGTTCACCTAAAGGAAAACAAATATTTGTTCACTAAGGTTATCAGTGCAAGTCAGCTATTTTGCATCGCGAAAACTCTACTTTATTTAATTAGTTGCTGCATCAAATAGCTGTAATGTTAGTTACAAAATTAGTTACGGATTTTCGTAATTTCATGTCGGTTGCGGTAAAAAAACAATACTTCCATTAAACACAATTTCTTGTGCATATTGCTACTAAAATATTAAGTAACTGAATGATTACGGTACACTGGGTGCGCCTAATACTATCTAAGCCGAAAGGTTTTTAATTTTTAATCTCATAAAACGCATCTTGCAGTAAAGACACAATAACGTAATAAGATATTAGGTGCGTCCGATACCCGTTTCAACTGACAAGCTGCATTAATTTTTAATCGTATGAGATACGTCCCAGTAAGGAGGAATAATAATGAAGACAAAAGCTTTTGAATCTCAAGTATTTCATACAGCCTGTTCTGTAATACTATAAAATACTGTAGACAGCGTGCAGAGACATTCGGCGGCTACATAACAGACGCACTCTGCATGCTGGACTTTTTGTATTTTGACAACCGGCACAGAAGACAATTAGACCTCCATGCGCAGCGGCAATGAGGAGGCTTCGAAAACTACGATAATAACTAACCGGAAGTTTGCTTTACACCTACTGACACAAGACTTGGCAACCCTAGTGAATGTCACGCTAAATCAGAGTTAAATTTGAAAATAAGATAAAAGAACAGCTAAAGCAGATAATTATGATGACATTCACTGGCTGTAATTTTATTGTAGCCTCAACCAGATTTTCCATTTCCCAGGCGCATTAAGGCAAATGGAATTTTCTTTTTAAGGAAGAGGCTAGTTTAAAGCTTACTTATAATTTGTATGTTCCGTAGAGCTTAAGCGTTATAAAACTTTAATATGAAGCAGTAATATGATCTTTAATAATAATAATTATTCCACCGCTTTCATGTTCTCAATGCTCCGCATTTTGTTCCACTCCGTCATTTTAGCATATCATCAATGAAGAAGATATGTTGTTTCCAGTTATACGAATGCATGCATATTATTACATATATGTGCTCATAAGGTCATGAAATTTATATAAGAAAGATACTGGATAATATAGTATTTTACAGCTGCCGTTTATAAATAGTATCTTAGCTTACCGGCCTGTCCGGCGGCTCCAGCCTTGCCCAGGGCAAAGGGGAAATTGAATCCATGGACGGCCACAACCAACACCACCAGCATAACCCCACACTGTACGATCATCGAACCGGCCATCTCACGCGCACCAACTTCCTCTCGATCGTATAATATAATTCCACCGCGATCACCTGCGAATGATTACCGTGGCCACTGACACCGTGCTGCCGGCTTTTATACTATCCAGTCGCTCTCCCGTACTCCACACGCTACACCGGCGCGTACGCTCCTCAGGATGTCACACCTTATCCCGCTAATTCACCTGTACAAGCACAGCAGGCGACTGTACCGTTAACGCGCGTCTTTTGTATACACGGCCCAGGACTTGATTGTACCGGGTAATGGACGTCTTTTGTCCCGTGTAGAGCGTTTCGGATTGTTCCCTGAGTAAGAGACGCTAATGCACGACGGATATGGTCTTGTGGACCATCCGGGTAGCGTTGTTGTTGACGCGATACGTCACTGTCGTTTCATATATGCGTCTCGGGGTGACCGTGTGCCAGTGATCAACAAGAACGACGGTTGGCTAATGGGAGAAGAAGTTGCAGGACAATATAACAAAGCGCTGTTTACCGATTTCTTAACGTTGTGCAAAATATAGCGTGAGCAGAACGGCGAGTATGACCGGAAGCTGCATTTTGTTGTAGTACTGCCCCGGCTAATCGGATTATCGGGCGCACAGCAATTGCGCATTGGGAAGGATCCCAGTGAGATGTAAATAGGGAAAAAAATAAATTGAGATGATATTGGAATGTACTTAATGCAATTGGATGCGTTAAGCGGATAAACAATTACTTTCTCTGATTTCCGTCCGCGTGTTGCAAGACCGCGGGTGTGTCGGTGTTTCTCGTCGTAGTAATATGCAGGTATGGTGTTTGTGAATAGTTTTCGCAAATCACATGCATTATATGTAAAATGCAACATTTATTCGAGAACGTGATCCCGAAATCACAGAGCTTGCGTTTAAATAGGCAACAAGAAAGGAAATTTTACATAAAATACATGGACTTACAAGTTTATAACGGCCGCAAATTACGGTTACGCCGCCGCGATTATAGCGATTACTTTATACTGTGCATCCGCGTTAACGTGTGCTGCACCGAGTGCGCCAAAAACAGCCATTTAAAAATACCTACCTAAGGAGGTAAGCTTTTGAGCATTCAATACTAAAATGTCGTGAGAAGAGCGATCTATTTTCTGTATGATAAGTAATTTTTCTATGCATTTATTCATATGAATTTCCAATATATATAGTTCGGAATATTTTTTATAAGGCGTCAAAACGTATACCTGGATTCGCATCTAATGTAAAAGTGTAATATAATATCCAAAACGCAAACGCAAAAGTGTAAACGCAAAAGTGTAATATAATATCCCAGAATCAACTGGCCCCACAAATTTGTGGTAAAAAGACAGGTTCTAATTTTCAAATAGCGGACTGGCGTCCATGTGCATGTCTTTGAAGGTATATAGTGCAATTATTAATACGGTAGTAATATGGTGAATATATAATATTCATGCCTCCCAGTTACAACATGCTATGTTATCCTGTAGTCGAATAATTCGTTTGATTTGTGACAGATATTCTGTTATGCCACTTATCACTATCTAATTACATATTTACGAAATATTAAGACAATCACGAACAACAACAAAGCGGTTCGCACAGCTTGAGCGGCTATGGGTCAGACCAACGCAAAAGCTTCGATCAAGCGTCAACGGTTATGAATCCACGTATGCAGAACCATACGGTATCTTCGGCAAGTGAAACTCGTCGCTTGCGGCTGTGTTTGTACGGTACCGGTGTTCGCACCAAGTCTACCGCGTGCGATGTCCGGCACAGCCACGTCCAATAATTTCGCATTTTCCGCATATCACTTTCGTTCCTCGTGGTATGAGCGTGAGTTCGGCAAGTACAGCTGAACAACAACAAGGTATGATCGACAAACTATAGTAGAGCATTGTCCGCACGGCGGTGCTACCGAAAATTGTAACGGAATAAACTGTGATGCCGGCATCATGCCGTATACTGCAAGACATCTCTTGCGTTTCAGTGTGATTCTGGGAGCGATTTTTTTGCTAGCGCCTTTAATATTAATCGGCACGTCCACGGTTACCAAATTTTATCATCCTGAGACGAGTGTAGCAAAGTTTAATTATGGATTCGGCGATCCCGTTTCCGCATTATTTGTGGGCGACAATAAAGCAACCGCCAAAAATATCCTTGCGGATTTAGCCCGCCAAAATAATTCTTTGGATGTTTTAACGCCGTCAACGACTACGGAAGCACCCGAGCATCTGCTAGAAAACTCCGCCATTCCAGCGTATGTTGTAAGGAAAAAAATCCCGGGTCTACAAAAGCTTCCCGCCGATTTTGCTGCCTATTCCTTGAAACCGGCAAAAGTCGCGCCACAGTACAGTATTTCTCCTCAGCCATGTTCTTCCTATCCAGACCCGATATTTCTTCTGATTATCGCCGTGACCCGCCCCGATGGGTTTGCCCTACGGCGAGCGGTCCGGACAACATGGGGATCCCTGGCGGAACCCCGCTGCGGGGTGCGACTGCTCTTCATCGCCGCCCGCACCCGTGACCTAAAAACGCAGGTGGAGCTACAACGGGAAGCTGGCGAATATGGTGACATCATCCAGTCTAACGTGTTCGACGATAACTACCGGGCCCAGGCCCTAAAAGCCATTCATCTCTTCCAGTGGGCGGGAACCTTCTGTCCCAATGCCACATTTACCGCCAAAATCGACGACGATAATTGGTTGAACATCGAGAAGTATGTGGGGTTTTTACGGATCAACGCCGAACGGGTCGGAGCGTTTGGGGGAATGTTCTGGGCGGGTGGGGACGCCATCCGGGATGCGGAAAATAAGTACCATATCCCGCGGGAGGATTATGCACATAATCGATACCCGGAATATTTGACGGGGATGTTGTATGCGTATCCGACGAAAGTCCTGCCGAAACTGGTGTATTTTGCCCGGAAGTTGAATGCCGGGTTGAACGAGGATATGTTTATGAACGGACTGGTGGCGACGGCGGCGAATTTAACGCGGATCGCCGTGCCGGATTATGGGTGGGGACGCGAGCCGAAAGCAGAGTGCCAGAAGCGGGACGCGATGTGTGTGCATTATACGAAGGAGAAGGACATGTACGAGACGTGGAATAATACGTGTTATACGTATAAGAAACTATGCAGTTAGATATACGATATCTTCCTGATCTTTTCCTGTTCAATGTCAGTATATTATACTGCTCTTTAAAAGCGTATGCTTTAGTGTTCTTTAATTTTATTTCGTTGATTGCCGGTTGTGGCTATAATTTGTTTGTTCGAAACACCCAAATATTTTATCTGTGATTGATGAACGTTTCATATATTTCATGCTGCAGCACAATGACGAGAGTAGTATTCTATCGTTATTGTTGAGCATACGCTCATTAAAGTCGTGATTGCTGCGCATAAGTTTGGCATCCACGGACCGCGGTTAACGAACTTCGATTATGCATAGACTTTTGAACAGACAAGAGTTCGACAATTTGTTTTGAAAAAGACCACGCTGACATTAATGCACGGATACGAAACGGAACTACCTACACCGTCATGGCCATATATTTATTCATGCAGCACATTTGCAATGGAAATTTATTACGAAAGCAGTGTGGTAAATTATTCTTCTGTTTGAAATAAAGTTTTATTGGGCGGTAGCTGCTGCATCTAATTGGTAATAACCAAGTCAAATAGTTTTTATTAGTCCAAATTTGTTCCGGAAGTATATATACAGTTATTGCTATACAGTCAAATTATGTATTAGACGGAAAATTCATTTACTAATGTTCTACCAAAGAGAAATTGCTAATAATCACCCGAGTTATCAGCCGTGCTTAACAAAAAAGAGATCATACAGACTCATACTCCCTCTTTTCGTGCCAGTTCCAGACGACGATCCTTCTGTTCCCACATAAAGCAGAAGTATGCAAAGATCAGCCCAGTCAGCTAAGCAATAACAAACAGAATTAACGTCAGCGTTGTTTTTTTGCATAGCGCTATGCACAATGTGAATCCAGTGGCACACTTTCGTTCAGTGTCATATCGGACAACAAACGAGCTCATTACGACTTAAAATACGCAAGTGTAATTGCAGGTATCGTGTAATAGACATACAGACACACAGAGTACCTTGGCGGGTAGTGAGTATAGTAGTTTCGATCAGAATAATAAGCTATAAATAGAAATACTTGATTGGTCAAGCTTATACAGCAGCTTACGCTGAGCACTGTCCCCTGGGTTAGCGATCCTATTCCGATGACGTGGAGGTGCAGCGTGCGTTTGGCGAAACATACTTTAGCCATCCGATCCAGCAGCTCCACAATGTTTACCTGGCTCCTCAGCTTTGCCGGGAAGAGCCGCACTCTCGAGCGAAGCCCTTCCAGCATCTCGGTAGTTCGATGCTCCTGATTAACAGAAATTAAAATTACTTAAAAATATTTACTCACGTAATTAAGCAGTACCTCTGTCGACACAGCCAGCATGGCTTGAAAGGTCATGGTTAATCCAGCCATATACATGCTCGCCGATACAATGGCTCGAGAGCCGTTTATTCCGTTCCACGTCCCCGCATCCAAGATCTCTAGCATAACCGTTAACATACAAGCCACTTCGCATAACAGAAACGATGAAAATAAAGTGCACAGTTCGGTTCTGATTTTTTTGGCGATGCCAAGCGCCCTTTCTCTTGCGGTCCATGCCAGTCGCACTTCCTCTTCGCTCAGTGAATCCCCAAACTTTTCAAGGAAGAGTCGCGGTTGGGCCGCAATACCGCTAGCAAATTTAATTAAAAAGATGGAACAGTATGCAACGCACAGTATTCGAAGACTTTCGGGATAATTTCTCAATACGAACATAGCGTACTCCTGTACAGGCAAGGTCACCGGTAATAAGGTCAGCCCGAATGTTAAGTTAGCTGGTGCAGTTTCCACAAAGTACACACGGGTTACTGTCACCACGATGTTGTATGAAATGAAAATAGTCCAGGCCATCCAGACTATCGTATTTATCTGCTTTCTTACAGAAGCTTGATTAGAAACATCACTGGTTATCTCAAGATAAATTGTTCGCAAATTGCATTGATTTTTATATAGTACGATAAAAACTAATAAAGCGGCTGCAGTTTTGATAAAATATTTAATGTCATAAGCAAGATCCAAGAGGTTCAGCGAGGCACCTGCACGTAGCTGTAGACTCGTATCGGTCAAATTGAACAAAGTTTCGTAGAGGCAAGATGTCAAGGTCATTAAAATTATTAATAATCCGGAAAGTTTTCGAACGCAGCGGCATAGGGGTAGTCCTGCATAATTGAGAGGCTGAATTAGGCCCGATGCACCGAGAAAACCTTCCAGAAGGTTCTCCATGGTAGATCATTAACATCCTCAAACCACTAAAGCCAGCTCCGTAGTTTCTCTACATTTCGAATAACTTTGCCCAACACGCTAGGAAGAAACATGATGCAGTATGTTTGGGTTAGCACAGTTTGCACCCGTTCAAATTTTCTTGCACTGCGAGCAGCTTTACTCGACTGCCAAATACGATCATTCATATCCAGCAGCTCACTCAAGAGGAGGACATGCGCGGCTAAACTGATTACTTACACGAGCACCTTTTAATACTAACGGTTTTAATAATTTTGAAATTTAACGAATGCTGTCGCCTGTCAATATGCTCTAGGTAACAGTATCTCAGAGCAAACACACATATATGCATGCACTGCCACCGGACCTGGGATTGGTTCGATCTAGTATCTTTAACAAAGTCCAATAAACAAAGTCTGCTTTACATGGATATCTTGTTCAACTGTTCTCCAATCGAGCCTTCCAGAAAATCGGAGTCCAACAGCTTAACGTAAACTGCATTCCGTTTCTCTTCGGCACTCAGAATGCAAAAACGGTTTTGATCGTGAGCCTTCCGGCGCCATGTAGGTAGGTGGTATGAGGTACAGCTAGCGGCTCTGTTTGCGCCCGAATTCAAGGCGACGATCCTTCTGCTCCCACATGAAGCAGAAATACGCAAACAAAAGCCCAACAATCTGAAATAGAAAGCTGTGCCAAGACAGACATTTCGGCCTAAGGTGTTCAGTCAAGGGTCAAGGAATTAGCGTTACTGTCTTTATAATAACCATTAAGATTCACGCGCCAAAAACACCGCTAAACAAAGTGCAGGCTGGGTGACCTTCTAGTTACATCTAATTTAATGGAGACAGTGCGATCTGTTGCGCAAGTACTGCACACTTGCGATCACGTACGAACCGTGAGAACGGTGCCTTGTGTAAGTGATCCAAGGCCCCAAATGCTCAAATGCATTGTTCGTTTCGTGAAGCACACTTCTGCCATTTGATCCAGCCGGTTTTCAGTGGTCTTTTCTTCGGATTTTCCCGGAGACAACCAGAGGTGAGACTGTATAGTTTCCACTAACTCTTCCGTTCGTTGTTCCTAAAATCAGTTTTCATAGAATATACAATATGTGTAATAACGCATATTGTAGATTTCTTTATTAACGAGTAAGGTGATGTGGAGCGTCTTAAACAAACAAACCCTTTACGTAAATAAAGTAATACATTCACAGTTTTTTATGTCACCTCCTGTGATACAGCTCGCATAGAATGAAAAATTATTGTCAGCTCCATGGCGTAGAAAACAGCGGAAACTGCCATACGGGAACCGTTCAATCCGTTCCAAATACCTTCGTCCAAAATTTCCAGCATAATAGTCAGCAGACAGCCAGTAGCACCCATCACAAACACCGAAAACAACAAGCACAATTCGGTTTGAATCGTGTGCGAGATTTCTAACGCTTTTTCTCGCGCTGCCCACATTTCCAGTATGACGTTTTCTTCGCCTAACCTTTCGCAGGATTGCTCCAGAATTAAACGCGGTCGAGCAGCAACACCTTGGCCGAATTTTATCAGCAAGATAGAGAGATAAGCCGCGCATAAAATGCAGAGCGCTTCGGAGTAATTTCTCAAGAATATCACACTGTACTCTTGTGCCGGTAACGAGATCGGCAGCAGTGTAAACCCGAACGTTTTATTGGATGCCGTTGTCTCTGCATAATAAATCCTGGTAACCGTCATTGTCGTTGTAAACGTAATAAACACGATCCAAGCAGCACAGGCTACAATTTTTATCTGTTTCAGACGACTAACGCTCATATTCGTTTCCTGCTGGAGCAGTGGATAAATCTTCCACAGTGCATTTTGTTTAGCGTACGTAATGGATAAGATAAGCTGAGTGACCACGGTTTTTGTGAAGTACTTGATATCGTATGCCAGATCCAGAAGATTTAAAGCAATTCCTTGATGAAGTTGTAAGATAGTGTTGATCACGTTGAAGCATATGACGTACAAACAGGCGGCCAAGGCCATCAGCACGATAAGAAGACCGGTACATCTGCGTAAGCGCTGCCAGTACCAAGGATCACCGGTGGTCTGGGATCGAATCAAACCCAGAACGACGAGAAATTTTTCCAGTAGTTGGTCCGCAGTCATCGCAGTTTCTTGACGGTTTTTCTTATGCTGTGATAACAAGATGTGCATTCATGAAGAATAACACTTCCAATTTTTTCTGGTTTTAGTTTTCTTTGGCACTTCGAACTAGAGGTATCGACACGTAATAAGCTGGATGGAGAACACAGTTACGGATATACCGAAGTAGATGTTTTTAGGTAAGTATACGTACTCTGTAAATGCAGCAACCGTTTTCCCTAAGGGAATCAAACCAAAAGAGACTGGTTGCATATCAGGTTTATCGTCTCTCGAGGTATAACACCTCAAAGTACCCGCATGATAAAATTTGTTATCAGTATCACGAAGGTTTTGTTATTTTCGACTATTTTTGTTCTACAAAAATGAAACAGCAGGAACCAGTTACGGCGGCGGCTGTTACGCGCACCCAACAGCTGGTATTTGGCATAATTTGCACGTGCAATTGCTGTTATAGTTAGCATTTGCACATTGAAGGGAGCAACAACTCATGTACACGCAATGAACTGCAACAACGCCAGTTTCAATAACTTGGTTCATTTAGCAGCCAAAACGTCTCCATCGGCTCCTTATTCTTAATTTTAATAACACCACGAGAAATCATCCTGAACTGAGAGCAGCTCTTCCGCAATAAATCTGCCGCGATTCCAGTCATCTGGGTTTTTCCTGGAAGTCCGTGGCTCATCATGCGCGATGCGGTGTTAACCGTGTCACCAAATCTAAAAACAACTTTACTGACAAACAAGTACCCATTCACCAGCTAACGGGTTAGCTTACAAGCAGTATCTTGGCTTGCGAAATCCAACCATTCCAGCGGCAATGGATCCAGAATGCAGACCCATTCGCAACTGCATCTCACGACCCTCCAGCAGCTTCTCCAGCTTGCTGCGCAGTGATATGGCTAATTTACAGATCTCTCCGACATGTCGGCTACCGTTACATACGGGAGCACCGCTTACAATCTGCAGCCGGAATTCAGAAACTGATAATAGTTAGTATGTATACAACGTTACACGCTCCTATGTTAAAACACCTTACCATAAAGTTATCTCCTATTGCTTCTACTTTAAACGCGTCCACATCATTGACGCAGCTGTCCGTTTGACTTTCGACGGCATTTAACAGATCCATCAAATCAGTCAAACGTTTTTGGTGAATCGACACTTCGAAGCCATAAAGGTCGAAGAACATGATAGTGACGGAGTCGAAAACTTCCGCACCGACATGCTCACAGCGTCGTAATTTCTCAACGATGTTACTATAAAAAAGTTTACATGGTTATAAGTTATATGGTACATGTTTTCGAAGCTTGAAATTTATTGTAGTGGTACCCTGGTAAAATCTGTCGCAGTATAGTGTCGCATTGCGCTCTTTCCTTAATCAGATCGCTGGTCTGCTTAGCGACCCTATCCTCCAGTTCCGCAGCGTAACGATTTAATCGCTCCATGATCTGGTCCACAAGGCGATCAGAGCGTTTGGACCCAGGAAAAAAATTCTCTTCCTGTCGCAACAACGTTCTTAGAAGCTTCGCGACGGTCGGTCGTTTGTTTGGATCCAGATGAAAGGTCCACTCCAGACAAGCCAGCAAATCAGGGCGCAGCCGACGTATGTTCTCGTCCTTTTGAATAGTGAGAGGAGTGACAGCACCTGAAGAGATTTTTTCGAGCAGACCTAAAAAAGATACAAGATTACGAAAAAAATAAAACTTCTTGATCGAACACATCAATCTGTCACACACATTTGCATTCCTGCTCTGGATCAGGATACGGATAATCTGACGACAAAATCTCCAGCAGAATCACACCGACTGCGTACACGTCTGTCGCACGATTGGGCATCATCTGGTAATTCAGCATTTCCGGCGCTGTCCAGTACAATTTTTTGACGGGTACATGTATGGCTGTTTTTATGTGTTCGTTGGCCAATAGCGAAACTAAGGTTTCGCAGCCGAATTCTCCGATTTTCAATATGAAGTGTTTATCGATCAAGCATTTTGACCCGGTTAAATATCCATGGAAAGAAGACACGGTAGTGTGTATAAAGTTCATTCCCTGGAAACAAATGGCGCTAGTGTATAGTAGTATCTTTAACGTATAGAAAAATACTGGATAACACACTTCGCAAAGGTCATGCATAAAGGATTGCTGGAGATCGTAATCCAGCTTGCAGCTTCTATCGAACAAATCATGCAACGATCCACGGCTAGCTTTGTCGGTTAAAATTAAGCTCCGATCGTTGAGAGTGACTATTCCAATCAGTCGGTTTATGTTGGTATACGTATTCGCGTACCGGATCTGCTAAAAGAAATGTGAATTCTGATCGAAGTATGTTAATCTACATTCTACAGAGTGAGTCCGTAACCGCACTTAGGTACGAGTATCTGTAAGTACCCGTCTGATAACGCTGCAGAATTCTGTCGAGACGTTACTCGTATCCGCATGGTGCTGCAGATTGATGACGATGGTGGCCGTAATCCATACTGGCTGATTGGCATATGTTGCTTTCAGAGCACTTCTCTTCTGCAAACAAATGTTCGTGGCGGGATATAAAGAAGTCCGAACCAGGTAAGCTGATACCGCACTCAATCAAAATTACATAAAACTTACAGCTAGTGCAATGCTCATTTCTTTTCTCAGCATATCGGTTAAGAAGAAGTTCGTGTTGAAGGAAAACAGATTTGGACTTAGGGTCCACCAGTTGTCGCAAATATGTGCCATCCAATAAGAACGGAATCTACACAGCAAACCATTTTCTGTCTTGGCTTACAGCGTGTCCTTCCCCGGAAGGTACGAAGATGCGGTTTCTTACCTCACAAACAAGATTATGCCGGTCAGGAGAAATGCAAACACTATTGCGATGACGACAATGCTGATTGTATAAGCTCGGGCGAGCGGGTCTGCTGAAAAGCAGGCGAAAGGTTAGATTGTGCCCCAGTGCTACTACTTTCGGTCGACCTACATCCCAAACATTGGTCCCCAGAAAAACCGCATAACGGTTTGTCAGGCGGAAAATAATTCAGCAGCCCGTTCCATGTCCAGTTGGCAATGTGTTGCATGTTGAGCGTCTGAGCGTCTTGATAGAAAATTGGCTAAATAACGACAGAGACACAATGATTACTTCTCATTAAGAAGATTTTCTTGGAGCAATCTTGCCAATTCAAAATGTCATCAAATAATTTACCCTGTCACCCTCTGCCACAAACGCTATGGTTTGTAAATAAACTGTATTAAGACGAGTGGTACCCAACATATGGTCCCCTTGCGTTAATTTTTTCTGTGCACGCGGTGTTTAATTAATGTGCGGTCAATTTAACTATTGCCGTATGCCACCAAGATGTTGTGCTATCATATGCTAATTTTTCATGAAGTTTTGTAGGGTCATGAACAAAATAACGAGGAAATTAATTTTTAGCTTCGCCACCGGTAAAATATTCACTGTTCATCCGTTTAGGACGATATGTCGCCTTATGACAGATCTTGGTGTCGACTATCCGTTGCTGGGAGGGTTTTCAAAAAATTCGAAAAAACCGCTGCAGAACTTATTATCGTGGCTTATGGCCTACCTGTTATTGTTTGTTCCTTTGCAGTTTTATTATTTAACAAGGTATTTATACAGGGAATATAGATAGTTTGCAGACCAGACTGCCGCGGGAGAAAGATGACCGCTTTGACTGTATGATACTGAACGGCTCCCGTTCGCTTCGCATGCCCGATTGGTGTCCAGCTGGACTGGCCGGCAGATGCTGCCGCCGCCGGCAGACCTAACACAGCGCTTCTGGAAAATTTCTCTGTATCGCTTTTGTACGTCAAAATAACTCTTTCAGTTTTTATTATCGATTAGTGAAACGGGTATGGGTATATAAATCTCGTAACACTCTTCCCAACCATATGTAGCAGGAGGGGTGTACCAATTTAACCAGATGTTGGGTACCTCTCGTCTTAACGCACTGCAGTTGCCCTGCGCAAAGTACGATACGAACCCTAGGAACGACGTTTTCTCCATCGTATCTCATCACCGCTGCATCCATCAGGCGCTGACCGTAGGAATCAATATAAATACTTCCTGCAGCTGTGTCGAATGTCTTGTTAAAAAAATACTGGGCTAAAGTCGCACCATCACGCAGTAAACTGCTTTGATTGGATACCACCAGTTCGCGGACAATCTGTTAACCATAAGATTAAGGAAGTAGAACAGATATGGTGATGTACCCGGTTCTGCCGGTGGAATTAATGGGTGCAGAGCCATTGCACGCGCATTTATTTCAGAAGAATTAGTTTGTTATCCCTTACGTACCTGACCATACAACGTGATAGCCATGTATGCTGGCATTCCTACCAACTATAAAAAAATCAGCAGCAACGAAATGAATTTTGCCGGTTGAGGTTTCCTCCAGTTTCCGAAATATTACAGACTACTGTACACTTACAGCATCCATCGGCGTTATCGTCAAGTTGTACTGGTTGACTTCCCTTTTCTGAATTTCTGCTGCAAGTTCAAAGACAGACGGTCGCAGACTCCATGCAGCGTAATATTGGTCCACCAAGATCAGCGATCGGAATGCTTCTTTGGCTATCTGAGAAAAACATCAGCAAGTATATGTAGCTTCTGCGCAGTCCCGGGCACATCTAACAGTATAGCAACCCATTACACAAACCTGATCATCCGCATCGCCGTATTTCCAGGTAAAATTCCCGGTTGCGCGGATAGGTATTACCTGTGTTGCTATATAAACCTGCAGTGCACAAGCAAACGTATGTCAAAACCCAGTTGGCTCGGTATCGAATCTCATCGGCTTCTTACAAAATCTCCGTTTGTCATATTGGACAACGCTGCTTTAACCTGTCAAAAAATAAAGCAGTAATATGCGATTACTATGAGGCAGAGTATAATATTACTAAACTAACTATTAGTTTAGTAATATTATAAGCGGGGTATAGAAAATTATCTACTCTGATCAATGCTTATAAACCCTGCGATAGCCAACAAAATGTGGAAAGACGCAGACCGTTTGGGTACAGGCCAAAATGAAACTGTTTGTAATCGTTTGCCTATGAGCTTACTAGAATTCTCCGTAGAATGGGCGCGTGTCCGAAAAAGATGAAAACTAAAACGTAAGCCGATACATCCGAAAGGCCGTATTACAACGTAAAGCGGTATGCTGCCGGAAAAAATAAAAAGCCGACATAAATCCATGTACTACGGTTACCTCGCGAGACTTTTCTGAAATCTTGCAAAATGGCATCAAGATCAGGAGATTTTAAGGATGAGACCCGGCGAAGGGTCAGGGTAACGTTTTTCGCCATATTCTCCACGGTTTTAACGAAAGCTGCACTGGATTCCAAATAAAAGCCTAGCGACGCTTCATCGATAACCACGAATACCGAACTCCAGCGGAAGGTATGCAATAAGCTGAGGTACAGGCGCACGTAACCCGGTATGGAAGCAAATGACATGCTAATCCATGTGGGACCTTTACCGCGCTCCCGAATGGCCATATCGCTTCCGGCACTGCAAATTTGTAGAGCACAACAACATGTTTGCTCTCGTGATGCGGTAAATGCTGCTAAACGACTCAAATCTTCACAACCGCATGTCCGCAGAGATTGAAAATTATGTTTATCCATGGATTTATATCATACAGGGCCATAACACGAACTCTGATAAAGTATAAGGCAAATGGTATTTCGAAATTTCGTCTGCTAGAGATTACCCATAATAATTTTGGTAGTTTTTTGGTAGAATAATTACTAACCTTGCACCTTGTTAGGATTATATATTTTAGCTAACAGAAAATTTAAAATGGTGTAGCTTAAAACACTCGAACAGGTAAAGGTACGTCAGAATATTTCAAATCGGTCACCTTGTTATATAGAGAATGTTCCATGAGCCCGCTAGAAGCCTCGCTCTGGGACTTTCCAAACATGCTGAAAAGGGTAAAATAGCATTGTTTCTAAAGTTCAGTGCTTTATAAACGTATCCATGTTGTAGACATTTTTATGTTTATTAACTGTTACGTTTCAAGCGTGTGGCTCAGAAATACATCTTGTACAGTACACATACAGTAGATTTTTTGTATACTACTGAAAGATCCCTGAACACTCGATAACATGTTCGCGTACTTTCCAGAACATTCAAAATTAAATGAAAAGTTCATCAAAGAAAATAACAACTACTACTTTAATCTCAATAATCCAATGCCAGTACCTGGCCAGATAAATACTGGAACGGACTCTCTGCGACTTTGATTGTTGTGGTACCACTGGGATAAATAAAAATCACTCCAGTCAGCAACAGTCTCACAGCTATACATTTCCGGTCCGGAGAGACGGATATGCGAGAAATTCGCTACCGATCCATGAAGGCGACGAATTTCTTCCACAGCCAGATCCATGGCTGCTAACGATAATGACCATGGCGGAGCTTTTGGATTCAATGTAATCAGCGAAACAATATCGATATCGATGCTATAGACAGTTGTGTACTGTCCGGACAGCATGACCAGTGTCAGTTTGGTCAGAACAACAGCAAAAATGCCAGGAGGCTTCATTTTTCAGATAAAAATTAAAGGTCGGCTCTCTGTCTACTGCTGCACGATAGCGAGATCCTCCATGATTATGTTATTAATAGAGAATAATCAGCCTCAGTTATGTGCCAATAAAAATGATAGATTAAACGAATACCTAATATTGGCGTCACTATGGTATAAGTAATTATTAAGACGCATATGCGTGCGCTGAATCGCTGCGTGCTCATGCATCTTTAATGCACGCCTCATATGCGCCTGGTCATGGTACAGCACCACGATCGCCCTTTTCATGGTAGAATTCACAGCTGCAATAAATGCATTAGTTTCCGGAAGTAGATGAGGTTGTGTATATACATCTGTTTTGCTGGTGTTTCGGTTGTTTTCGAGAACCAACCCACATATCCGTGTGCCAAACCTGTTTTATGGTCGCAGCTCTCCAGGTGGGTGGAATTCCTTCGAGGATTTCTGACTTCGAGGTTTTGAATTTTAAATTGGTATAGCGTAAAGCTGCAGTAATACTGGTCTGTGGCCAGTCTTCGTACGATGAATTATATCCGAACTACCGGTAAGTATCATCTTCGATGGAAGTGACCCTTGATGCTTTTTCGTTTAATTCTGGTACTGATGGTGATAGTTTATTTAAGAATTTAATTTAATAAAAATGTGGATCAGATAAAAGTGTCACGGAGCAGGACACTAAAAATAAGGTGTCTAAATCCTAAATCCTAAATATTAACTGCCTAATTCCCATTTTGCTCCTTGCTCCATTAAGAAGTAGTTTGTCGTAATGTAACGCACCAAATAGCTTCCAGTTCGTGGAAAAGCATTAGTTTGTTACTTTGTAAGTTTTAATCCTTTTAATTTGCTGCGAAAAAGATAGTATCGCAAAAGTGTAACAGTCTAAATCAGCCAAAACGTTTCCATGGGGGTCTTATTTTTAACATGGATAATCCCTCTGGACTGCAGCTGAAATCCAGGGTAATTCTTCGTAAGTATCTCAGCTGAAACGCAGGTCATCTGGATTTGTCCAGGCAGTCCGTGACTCATCATACGTGATGCAGTATTTACCGTGTCGCCAAATCTGAAACACCCATGAAGCAACCGGTTAACAATTTTGAAAGATTTCAACGATCGAGGCATGGTCATCAAGGCATTCCGCGTACAAACAGTATTTCGGTTTGCGATATCCTACCACTCCCGCCGCAATTGATCTAGAATGAAGCCCCATCCTCAGCTGCACAACACTGCCATGTAGCGGCTGTTCCACACTGTTTTGTAAAGACAGGGCCAACTTGCACATTTCTGCAACATGCCGGGTACCATTTCGCACCGGCGCTCCGCTTACGACCTGTAAAAACGCTTGCTTTTTTCCATTACAAAATACAAATTGTCCAATTAAAAGTCTTGTCTTGTAAATTAATGTGCAATCTAACTAATTATGACAAACTAGAACTGTACTTCGTAGTTCGTACCAGAAAAGTATCAGCCACTGCTTCCACTTTAAAAGCGTCCCTTTCCTTGATGCGTGCATCCAGCCGGCTTTCGACAGTTTCCAGTAAGGTGGTGAGATCACCCAGATTTTCCATCCGGAATGTCTCAAAGTCGCAGAAATCGAAGAACATAATGGTGACCGATTCGAATATTTCGGCATCCACATGCTGATTGCGACGGAATTTGTCGACAATATTCCTTTGAAGGCATTTTTATATGTAGTTGTGCGCATATTATAAACTTCATGTACGTTGAGACTTGAGACTACAGGCTACTATTTACCCCGGTAGAATTTGTCGCAGTATGGCATCGCATTGTGCTTTTTCTTTAATCAGTTCGTTAGTTTGCTTGACAACCCTTTCTTCTAGTTCGGCAGCGTAGCGGTCAAGACGTGCCATAACTCTATCGAATAACCGGTCCGATCGGTGAAAAATATGCCCAAACTCTTCTCGTCCGGTTAGCACATTTTGGAGCTTCCCAATCGTTGGTCGTTTGTTTGGGTCCAGATGGAATGTTGACTCGATGCAAGCCAACAAATCACGCCTCAGTGTCAAATATTCTTGGGATGCCGTTAACGGAGTTATCGCTCCGGAGGCAATTCTATCCAAAAGTTCTAACAAAAAAAACGCGGTTATCAGCGTTTTAAGGTTTTCATTAATAACACAGACATGTATTTCGTCTTGCCACTAGCAAACGTCATTATAACTGATATATATGAAGCAAACTCACGTTTTCCGTCACATTCTTCGTTGTAGTAGGGATATTCACTCGTCAGTACCTCCACTAGGATCACCCCAATTGAGTATATGTCGGTTGCGCGGTTGGGTAAGGAAAGATAATTTAACATTTCTGGTGCCGACCAGTAAAAATCTTTTGGGAGGAATTCTGTAGGCAGTGCCCGCAGTTTGCCGTTTTCCATAAATGCCCTCAGCGTGTCGCATCCGAATCCACCAATCTTTAGCGTAAAGTGCTTATCAACAAGACACTTTGCTCCGGTCAAATGTCCGTGAAATGTTGACAGTAAACCATGAATAAAATTCATTCCCTACAAACAGGCTATAAAATGTATTAACCAAGTCTGCGTATGTTGCACTCGTATATGTCAAAACAGGCACCAAACAGCACTATAGATATACGAGCCAGATATACGAGTATGCCTTTTTAAAAGGTAGCAAACGCACAGTCAAATCTTCACCTCACAAAGGTCATTCATGAACGACTGTTTTAGATCCTGATCCAACTGAAAGCTCCTGTCAAAGAGATCATGCAACGATCCTCTTGCGGCCTTCTCGCTCAGAAGAAAAGTTTTGTCGCTATGCTTAAGTATTCCAATTAAACGGTTGATGTTCGTATGGGAATTCGCAATACGCACCTACAGTTTAACATCAAAAGAATTCCTGTAGTTTCCGTAGTTAGTCAGTTTCTACAATCTACAGTACCTAAGCCGAATCACGATTAAATTTTTATCTATACACTGAGGTATTGACCGTTAGTTTTTATACCGGTTTAACTGAAAGCTATAGAATCTTTTACCTGTTTTAAGGTGCTTCGAAATTCTGCTGATGGTTTGTTCAAGCTTATTTGATGCTGATTCGATGGAAGGTTAATAACTACTGCAGCCGTTATCCAGACTGGTTGATTACTGTAAGTAGCGCTGGAAGAATTCTTTCTCTGTGAACAGGTTTTTGAATCACCACCTTACCCGTTTACCCGACGCTCTCAGAATGCGTAAATTTATTGTAACAAATTTAATGACTTACTACAGAGGTATAACTCATTTCCCTTCGTAGGGTGTTAGTCAAGAGGCAGCTGTTGTTCAACGAGAATAAATCGGGATTAAGCGTCCACCATTTGTCGGTGGTCGGAAATATCCAGTAAGCAGGAAATCTAAAGATCATACAGCTGATGTTAATAGTAATTTCAGTTAAAAGAGAAAACAAATGATTGTACGCGTATTTCTACCTGAAGAAGATGATTGTTCCAGTTGTAAGGCACAGAAATATGAACGCCATGATGCCGATTACGACCATATAGATTGTGGAAACACCATCGTCTAAAACCAAAGAATTCCGAATCAGTATTCTATTCCGCAGATCTTGCCTCAGGTTTACGTTGTATACTAACACTGGAAGCATTCATTTCCAGTAAACCCGCACAGCGGCTTATCGGGAGGAAAATAGTTAAGGCTACCGTTCCACGTCCAGTTGGCAATTTGCTCCAATATCAGCGTTCGTGCTTGTTGGAGGAAGATCGGCTAAAAATGTATGCCGCGGCCCTTAAGCAAAAATGCTTTAAATATAAGTAAAGCGCTCGACTCGAGAACCCACCCTGGACGAACCGTCTTCTTCATCATACTTCAGTACAACAAGATCCATTAATCGTTGACCATAGCGGTCAATGTATACACTGCCCGCTTCGGTGTCGAGCGATTTATTAAAGAAGAACCGAGCCATTTCGGCGCCATCTTGGAGTATGGAGCTCTGGTTGGTGGTCACCATTTCGCTAACTATCTGCAGCGTAAAAATGTCTGTATTTAAAAGGTCAAAGTAATAACTATTTAGATTTGAGTATCCATCAAATCGCGTGCGTACCATTCCATACAACGTAATGGCAAGATACGAAGACATGGACGATACCATCTGAAAGAGGTTACATGTTTGAGCCGAATTTAAACTGTCTGGCAGTGTCTACTATATTTTCTACCGAGCCGGGTGCAGGAGCCCTAACTTACAGCATCTTGGAGCGATATGTTTAATTTATAATTAAGAGCTTGCCGCCCCTGGAATCCTGCCGCAAGGTTGAGAATCGTCTGCCTTTTTCTACTGGAATCGCGGAATTGGTCCAACAATAATACCGAACGGAAGGCATCTCTTGCTATCTGCAATAATTTCCAGTGCTTTCGTAATATGTCTCATTTCGCGTATGATTAACCACATCTTCGTGGAAATAATTTTCAAGAAAAACGGTCTTTGGGTTCACATTACGTGTATAAATTACAGCTGCCAGAACACGTGTCATCTTATTATTGTATTCCAGTTATTCTAAATTTTAACACGAATGATGTCAACATAGGTAATTGATTTAGTAACACACCTGATCTTGCGCGTCTCCGTACTTCCAGGTAAAATTTCCGGTGACGCGACTGGGCATTAATTGGGAAGCTATGTACACCTGCATCTCATATTAAAAAAGATCTGATAAGCGATTTATAATAATACTTATTACTGTCATGTTTCCAGTAAAACATCTGCGTGGAACAGTGTCGCACTTACGTATTCTCCATTTGTCATATTAGCAGCTGCGGCCTTAATCTGCCAAAATAATATATTCTCAAAATATTTACAGCAGGAAAGCCTTATTCCGGCTATGAAGTAGTAATTTATTACCATAATATTCCGAAGAATTGGTGCATGTCCAAAAACGATCATCACTGAATAAATAATAGTTTAAAGCTAGGTATTGCTGTCTTTTCGAACAATATTAAATTTTCCTCTGGAAACGCTTCTGAATTCCCGCAGTACTGCATCAAAATCGACGCCAATTTTTGCCGATGACACTCGACGAACCGTCAAAGTGATATTTTTGGCGTTTTCTTCCGTCGCCTTGACCAGTGCCACACTCTGATCCAGATAAAACCCGGTAGATGCTTCGTCGACAACCACAAACACGGAGCTCCAGCGGAAGGTGTGCAGTAGATTGATACACAGGCGCACGTAACCCGGCAAGGAGCCCATCGACATGCTAATCCACGTGGGACCTTTAATGCGGTCACGAATCTCCGTATCTCTTCCTGCGCTGTAATACAAACAGGACCAAATTAGCTCGAATTTTTATGACAACCTACTACCACGATAGTAAACATATAGCACAGCTGGCAGACACCTACGTTGTTATGAACAATGTATTCCAGGCAGCCGCCAAAAGTCGCACCTTCGAACTTTCCATGCAAGCTGACATAAATACAATAATTATTATTCAGTAATTTTATTGTACTGTTTCTGTCTTAATATAGCTGGACTATAATTAGGAAAATCGGTTTTTATGTAACACGGAGGTAAAAATTAAAATCGTAACGCATCAATCTGGTCATGGCACTTGAATTATTCACGTGGATATTGTTAAATGGTAAAGGCGGCTTCGCAATACATTTAAATACTCACGTATATACAAAAATACACATATTGTACACATATGTGCATGCAAAAACTAATTCGCGGAAAATCTGTACCTGGCCAAATGAATACTGGAATGCGGTTCTGTCTATCTTGGTAACTGTAGTACCATCGCGCCAAGTAAAAATCACACCAATCGGCAATGGTCTCGCAACTATCCATTTCCGGTCCGAACAAGCGGACGTGGGTGAAGTTGGCCACAGATCCATGCAACTGCTGCACTTTCTCTACAGCCATATCCATGGCAGCCAGTGCGAATGCTGATGGAGCAACTTTGGCACTGAATGTTATCAAAGATACGATATCGATTTCTAAACCGCACACGGAGGACTGACCACCGTATAGTATGAGTGTAAACCTTAATATCGTAATGTACGTTAAAAAGCTATGAGCGGCTACTTTCTGCAGCATCTCAATATAGTCAGCTAAGGTGACTGTAAGTACACACTTCCTACTCCAGCAGCAGCTGATCAATGGCCACAGAGTTAGAAAATAAATGATCCCTCATTGGTAAAATCAGTAGTAAAAGGCGATCGAAAATCCATAAACACAGTGACAGCAAATTATGTAATAACAATGATAAGGATAATCGTTGACTTAACTGGTGTCCATTGTGGAGTTCGATTGTACGAATACATATAGCTATAATGCCTTTGCATAAACGCTTCCAAACGACAAAGCAAGGTTGTAGTGCGTACTATGCTGTACGGTTTTTGCCAACACAATGTGCTTAAAGTGTGGTTTATTATACTCTATACATCAAATAAAACAAGGACTACGCATGTAAGACTGGAGAAAAGGTAATAATTGACGAGGGATACCGCCTCTAGCCGACGTATTCGTCAGTGATTGGCATAATCATGCCTCTACATCCTTTCGTGCCGTATAGCCGTACACAAGACGCCTGCGTCCAACCGGTGTAATGCAGCTATTCCAGGCATATGTTTCTGGTACGTACTTTAATTATATAAGATTAAGTACTGTTGTCTACTCAGTAGGTCTCCAAGGATTTGGAATTCGGGGATGTGTAATTCCATCACGTGCGAAATTCCGGAGAACCGTATGATACGATTTGCCATTTCTATTCCTCGAGATCTTTGGAAGTTCTAATTAAAACGATATCTAATTTGCAGTTTAATAATTATTATCAAATTAGATTCTTCTGCGCTAGCTACGTGTACGTGATTATACGAAATTGCCAGCTACAGTAAGTACTTATACGTGCTTATACCTGTACAAAACGGCTAGCAACGTACTTTTACGAAATGGCCTAATACTTGTCTACCGGCAACTTTTTAAAGTTGAACGAGGGGCAAAGTACTCAAAGCTTGCCATCCTGCCCGGATAAACTACCTACCTTTGTGAATCGAGCCGTGCAAAGGGTGTGTACTTGCGGCATTTACAAGAAATTTTGCAACTGCTCTTTCCATAAAGTTCATCCAGAGTGAACCTAGAGCAGTTGAACTTTCGTTCGCTTTTCCAGATGGTTGACCAAATAAACCACTAACCGCGGATCGGATCATTTCATTTCACTAAACGCGGATTCACTTGGACTCTTGTGGTACAGCATATATTTGGAGAGTCCCCAGGGAATGCTGCGAGTGTATACTGAGATCATGGGATACTGCCTTTCTGTAATGCTTTTCCTGATGGTGGGTGGTGTACGACTAATCAGTCAATATATCAGTTTATACTTTATATACTGTAAATTACAGTATATAAAGGTTAAACTGATATGTTGGCATTACAGTCTGTAATTATACCGTACAGGTGCTTAAATGTATACATACTTTGTGTTTATGCAATACTTTTGTAAGCTTGTGAGGCTTGCTCAATAAATTAAATTTTGCCGGTTTTGCTACGCAACTATCTGGTTTCTTTTCGGCATCAGAACGCTTTGTGCTGACTTTTGAGTGTGCGTTCGCCTTGTATCTTTACATTCTTTAGTATCCACAGAACTTGCTGTGAACTTGGAGCATCTTGTTTTGTAAAGTAATTTCATGAGCACGAAGCTGACAGAATCCTGTACATGTGACAGTATAGTTGCAAACGTTATGAACGTTGCCTTGACGGCGATAAGCTTTTTTATCCGAGTGTTCGTCGGTTTCTGTACAAGTATGGTAGGTACATAACACGAGGGAGAATACACATCTGGATTCTGGATTACATCAACCAGAACGTTTCCATAGGAGCTTTATTCTTCACTTGGACGATTCCCCTGGATAGTAACCGAAAATCGGGATAATTTTTCCGAAGCACGTCCGCCGAAATGCAGCTCATTTGGATGTGTCCCGGCAGTCCGTGGCTCATCATCCGCGAGGCGGTGTTTACCGTGTCACCAAATCTAAATTATTCACAAATGGATCAGCCCTAAATGGGGAAGCGGTCATAAAAGTTATGGTCCGGCAGACTCCGGCTTACAAACAGTATCTTGGTTTCCGATGACCTACAACTCCCGCCGCAATGGATCCAGAATGTAAACCAGTTCTAAACTGCAAACCTTTATCGTCCAACGCCTTTCGTAGTTTTTTCCGTAAGGACACCGCCAGCTTACAGATTTCCGCAACGTGCTGAGTGCCGTTTCGCACCGGTGCACCACTTACGACCTTTTGAAAGACATTTTTGATGTTTGTCTCTCAAGTCTTTGTTCGACTTTGCAATACAGTAATTAAGCACTGCAATCTGCGTACCATAAATGTGTTAGATACGGATTCTACTTTAAAGGCATCCACATCCAGAATGCTAATGTCCAACAGACTTTCCACAACATCCAACAAAACGGTCAAATCACGTGGATGTTTCGTTTGGATTAGTTCTTCAAAGCCGGGGAGATCGAAAAACATCACGGTCACCGATTCAAAGATTTCGGCATCCACATGCTCACTCCGCCGCAATTTATCCACAATATTTCTGCAAAGTGCTCCGTTTAGCAAAACAGTATCTTTAGGACGTGGAGTCATTTGTACGCATTACCCTGGTAGTATTTGTCGAAGTATGACATCACATTGCGCTTTCTCTTTAATCAGCTCGTTGGTTTGCTTGATGACCCTTTCTTCCAGGTCCGCGGCATAGCGATCAAGGCGCGCCATTATTTTATCAAGAAGGCGATCAGAGCGTTTAATAATGCGTCCAAACTCTTCTCGTCCCGTGAGTGTTCGCTGCAGCTTGAGCATGGTCGGTCGTTTGTTCGGGTCCAGGTCAAACGTTGATTCGATACAAGCTAACAAGTGGCGACGAATTATTAAGCCTTCTTTGGGCGCTGTCAACGGAGTGACTTCACCCGCAGAAATTTTTTCCAGCAATTCTGCAATATTGTAAGTTGTTACATTCTGTGTACCATATTACATGAAAATAAACAATAATATGTAAGTCGTTTACGTTTGCTGTCGCACTCTTCATCGAAGTAAGGATACTCGGACGTGAGTATCTCTACTAAAATCACGCCAACTGCGTACACATCGGTTGCACGATTGGGCATGGAAAGATGCTTCAATATTTCCGGTGCTCTCCAGGGAAAATCTTTTTCCAAAAATTCTGTGGTGACAATTTTGCCCTTTTCTAACAAGGACTTTAACGCATCGCAGCCAAATTCGCCAATCTTTAGAACAAAGTGCTTGTCGATCAGACACTTGGATCCCGTTAAGTGTCCATGAAATGTGGCCAAAGTAGAATGTATAAAATTCATCCCCTTAAAAATGGGTTGCTTTTAGCATTCCATAAGTTTAGTGTTAGCGTGTTTGTTTATTCTCTTAAATGTAGAGGAATTTCTTATTGAAATAAATAAAAATAAAACGAGGCATGCAGGGTACCTCGCAAAGGTCATTCATGAACGACTGCTTAAGATCCTGATCCAGCTGGAAATTTCTATCGAAGAGGTCATGCAACGATCCTCGTCCAGCTTTTTCACTCAGAACAAAGCTTCTGTCGTTCAGAGTAAGGATACCGATTAACCGGTTGATGTTTGTGTGCGAGTTTGCAGCACGTATCTGGAAAGATTAGCTTACAATTGTTAGATGAATAAAAGTTATGCTACATGTTGTCTAAGACGTTATACAGTTTTCACGGAGGACATTAATCATTTTTAATCTTTTGCTTAACACATTAAATCTTTTGCTTTTACAATGGTAAAATAACTTTTTAAATATTGAGCATTCCTAACAAAAACCTCGCACATTATCGTACTCGGTTAATGACAATTAACGAGTTAATTGATGTTAATGTTAGCTGGAGGACATGCGCTCCCGCTCTGTCTCCTTTCGCCGTGTGTTGCGAGTTACGTGAGTCTGTTGGTGGCGCTGCGCGTGCCGTGGCGCTTAGATCAAAGCGGCCGCCGACATGCACGGGCATGCTGTTTGCACTTGGTACTGTTCGTGTGCTCGCACTGCATGGTTCTGCAGTTCTCACTGCTGTCTGTCTTTTCTCCTTCGATATCGTGTGCGCGCGAGTGATCTCTATTCTTTTACCACCCGCCACACCCTGCTGTTTTCTTCTGCTGGTATTTCGCGCTTGCTCAATAAAGGGGCCTTCGGTTGCGCAGGGCACTGGTCGCTCTCTTCCACCGACCCCCGGTCGGCCGGTTTCTCGCTGACCCACGGTCACCGCACACAGCCGATCACAGAGACCACCAGCCTCCCAGCAGCCGGGGCTCCAGTGCCCCCAGTGGAGTCCGGAAGCGGTAACATTAATCTGCCGATAAAATATTTACCTGCTTAATGAAGGCACGAAAGTCTGCAGAAGGCTTATTTGTGCCTACTTCGTGGTGCAGGTTGATGACCACAGCAGTCGCTATCCATACTGGTTGTTTGTTATATGTGGCGTTCGAGGCATTCTTTTCTACAGATTTAGATCGTGTCAATAACATTGCAAGTAGTTTTGCTTGCAGCATTGCGTATGTTACTCCAATAGTGTTGCCCATTTCCTTGCGCAGCATATCCGTCAAGAAAATGCTGGAGTTCAGGGAGAATAAATCAGGGTTTAACGTCCACCAGTTGTCGAATACTTGAATGACCCAGTAGGAACGAAATCTAGATACAGAATAGTATTAACAACATCAGTATAAAGCTCGATCTTTTTCAGGCAAAACACTTGCTTCTGTTCTCCTCTAATCTTAAACGGATAGTAGAATGTAAGCGTAGTGTCTTACTTGAAAAATATCAACACAGCAGTTATGATGCAGAGGAAAATAAGCGCCATGATAACGATGACGATCGTATAAGTCTTGGCAAGGCCGTCCGCTGAAGGCAAAGCACCGATGTAAAGTGCTGGAAATACTTGATGCAAATAGAGATCTGCAAGCTACTAACACTCAAAGCAGTCATTTCCCGAGAAGCCGCATGGCGGCTTGTTGGGCGGGAAATAGTTGAGGCTGCCGTTCCATGTCCAGTTGGCCGTTTGTTGCAGAATAAACGTTTGTGCTTGTTGGTAGAAAATTGGCTAAATAAAATTTCCATTTATCAAACCGTGTAAAAATTTACAGCAAAAAACTTCAGTTTTTCGGAGTGATGAGTGTTTTATATGACATGTGTAAGTTGTCCCTTACTGGGCTGGAAATTTAAGTTAATTTGCGCACCCTGGGTGATCCATCACTTCCGTCGTATCTAATCACGACTAGATCCATTAAACGTTGGCCGTAGCGGTCAATGTAGATACGGCCCGCTGTGGTGTCGAACGTTTTATTGAAAAAACGCTTGGCCATTTGGTCCCCGTCTCTGAGCTCGTCCGTTTGATTGGAGGTCACCATTTCTGCGACAATCTATCAGACGTACGATAACTGGTGAATACAGTAATACATTTGCGTAACATTCTAAAACTATAGTGGGGCAATGTTCATTGATAATTCACCAATATTTACAATAATGGTTAACAAGACTGCTTCTTTGTAAACCAATAATTGTAAACTTTATTCGACAGTCAAATGCGTACCTGTCCATAAAGGGTAATGGCAATGTACGAGGGCATCCCAACCATCTAAAGAGCGCGGTTTACATGATATTACAGTGAAGCTGCTTAAACTTCTAAGTAGTTTCTTAAACAGATAAACTTACAGCATCGTTAGTTGAAATCGTCAGATTGTAGTCAGCTGCTTCTCGTCGTTGAAATTCTGTTGCTAGTTGTAGGATGGATAGTCTCTTGCTGCTAGCATCGCGGAATTGGTCTAACAGCAGCACCGATCGGAAGGCTTCTCTTGCTATCTGCAACATTGATTGCCTTCATGCGAAGTATGCCGAGAATTTAGGCTACTGAAGAAAGATTAGCATTTTTTTATTTTCAGCAGATTTTGCTAACGAAGACACCTCATAGAGTTTAGCAGAACCTGACCTTTTTGTTATTTGCATCTGTTATGCAACATGACCAGCCGCGTCATTGTGAAAGATTAAGTATAAGCATATGACTATAATTCGGCTGTAAACAAACCTGATCATGTGCGTCTCCGTAGTTCCAGGTAAAATTTCCGGTAACACGGTTGGGCATTAATTGGGAAGCCATGTACACCTGGAGCAAAAAGCTATTCAGATCATCATAATTAGCTGTTGCGCCATCATGCGGAAAATCCCCCAAAGAGTGTGTCCGCTATTATTTTACTTACAAATTCCCCGTTGGTCATATTGGCGAGTGCCGCTTTTATCTACCAAAACAAAACAAGCGCGTAGTTTTATTTTCCATTGAATAGCGGGAACTTGTGAGATCGCGGACAGAATACGGGTCAAAACTGCATCCGCAATATCCTGCTGCTGATTCCCTTGGGGATCACGTCTATTACAGACTTGCTCACCATGATATTTCGAAGAACCGGTGCGTGTCCAAAAAAGACCAATACTAGAATATAAAAATTAATTCCGATGAGAATTAATAAGTTAATACTAATAGGTACTATAAAAGAAAAAAGCTTTATAGCTTACAAGCTTGTGGTGAAAAACCAGTTTATTTACTTAAATACTGTTGTATTAATCTAAAAGTACAGGTACCTCTGGAGAGCTTTTTGAAATCTTGCAAAACCATTTCGAAGTCTGCAGATTTAGCGGACGAAAGCCGTCGCACTGTTAGAGTAATATTTTTTGCGAATTCTTCCGTTGCCCGGAGGAAGGCCGCGCTGGTTTCCATGTAAAAGCCGAGAGAAGCCTCGTCGATAATGACAAACACAGAACTCCAGCGGTACGTGCGCAACAAATTGATGTACAGGCCCACGTAACCCGGAACGGAGCCCATAGACATGCTAATCCATGTGGGACCTTTTGCACGGTCACGAATGGCCGCATCACTTCCTGCACTGCAGTTACCACAAACGGATCTTCAATACTTTTGAGACAGTGCTAGTCAGAATAAATAATTATACGGTGTATCGCTTATCTGCGATGTAAAGGTTGTTGCTGTGAAATGTCGCCCGTAATTCACGAGTTTGTTAATTACTTAGACTTCTTATGGATAAGTAGCAAATGCATGCATTCAATAGTCTCGGACCATATAACCGTATGTTAAATCAAAACGGGAAGAAAACTTTGACTTTTCAGGAACTATTTCAGTCATGGTAACATGTACTTCCGGTGCGCGTTCTAACATTCGTGAATGGTCATTGTACACTTTTAAACAGTTTTGGCTAATAACGATGACTGATCGGAAACGAGATTCGAAGTAAGACCATTCAAGCCACATTTCGAAGAAAAAACTCTCAACACTGATAGCAAGACCTCAGTATTTTTGTCGAGTTGTATGCACAACCGTGATATTGAAATAAGTAGTATTAATACAAACCTAGTTATAAACAGTATGTTCCACGCAGCAGCCAAGAGTCGCGTCCTTGTACTTTCCAAACACGCTGCAAACGATGTTAAGCAATTCATCTTAACATGGTCAAACTAAAGAACGTGTGCCGATAGGCCAAATAAATTTAGTAAAGTAACTCACCCGGACTGTATGGATATCTTAACGTATCAGAGTGCAGGTACTAATAATTACTGATGCATGTTAGCGAATAATATCGTTAGATTGGAAAGTATAAAAAACTCACTTGGCGTAGAAGGCAAAATTTTTGAATATCTATATATCTTCTGCACATCGAAAATAAATGCGGTGAAGAACTGACACAATACCTGGCCAAATAAATACTGGAAAGGCCTGCTGGCGATTTTGCCGGTGCGTGCCGTAGTACCATCGCGCCAAGTAGAAGTCACTCCAGTCGGCAATGGTTTCACATGTATCCATTTCCGGTCCTGTCAGACGAACGTGAGTAAAGTTGGCCACGGACCCATGAAGCTTTTGCACGTCTTCCACAGCCATATCCATGGCGGCAAGCGAAAAAGCCGACGAGGGTGTTTTTCCACTGAGGGTGATTAATGAAACAATGTCTACCTCAATACCGTTTACAACGGATTTTCCTGTGCACATTACGGAAAGAAAGTAAAGGACCAGAGTAAATGAGTGCAATTTTCCAAGTACTTCCAGCAACATTTCTGTCAGCAGTCTCGCAGTAAACCTTCAGTCTTGCTTGTGTAAACCCGCGCAGACGTATTATTATGAGTAAACCTTATTGTAAAAATCTGAAGAATAGCCTAACGTTGCACTAAGCGCAGCAGTTGTAAAGGGAACGATCTTGAAAAATTACTTGAAAATTACGCATTAATTACGGCGCCCAGTGCTATGCGCAATTGCCAATAAATTAGAAAGCTCATGCAGAGGATATTGAATGTAGTTCTTTTCTGCAGAAATTATGATTTTGGGGAAAATTATTAACCAGAAGCTACCAAATAACAGAAACGTTTGCACGGCTGATTTGCTTGTATGTGAGGTATGTGTAGGAATAGGGAGACAGGAACACATGATTTGTCGGTAATTTGCATGGTTAACTGGCTTCGATATAAGTACTGTTGGTACGAGTGAATCGTCGTTGATTAGTGTAATCAGTTTCCCCTTTCCCATGCATCCTTCCGTAATACGACGAAAGACAGTCCCCGTAATGGGAATTGGCTGGGTAGCGGTGGAGACATTATCTTTAAAATACTGCAGCATGCAGTATTAGGTGAAACTGACACGTACCACATAACATCTGGCCTCATCATTTGGAAAAAGCCGGCTAAAAGTATGCACGTGCAAATTAACTGAGCTCTGTAAACACGACCTTGAAACTGATAAAAAAATGCAGGACAAAATTGAAATAATATTATAATACCTATTTGTACACCAATGTAAGATTCGGTTTTACACTATCCTTAGCATTCATAGAATGTAATTCAAATCGGTAAAAGTTTTATGAACACGTTTCATTGCTGCTCGCTTCTAGAATGCCCGTTAATAACGAAGTAGCCTGTAGAACAGGCACCGGATGCGTTTACTGCATTACGAATACAGACGACAGAGTACTCTGTATCTATCAAAGAGTGGGGCTGGCGCATCTGACCCGGCGTGACTTGCACACCATTGACCTCTAGAGATGCGCTTTACATAAGTATTACAACGGCAACTTCCAACCCGGTTCGCCAGGTAGCACTTTTTTGACGTGTGTTGTGCAGATCCGAGACGTGACGGCGACAGTATGTTTAAGCAGAGTTATCGCGCAATGTTTGACGTTAATTGGTACGTCTGGAGTACGTAGACTACGTAAAATTACAACGAAATTGTTACACTTAAAACGCATCCGTCCTGGCTCCGTATTTTGACGGTGCTCGGCACATCTAATCCATGAATGCCTTTTTACGAAATCGAAGCTTATAAGCTGCCACTAGTGGAGTGGGTTAATCCACCCGTACCACGATAAAATGAGGTTTGATGGTTTGTCGGTGAAGTTACGAGTAAGCGAATTACCCAAAAATCAAAGATGCAATTGCGAGCATGATAACCGATACCGGCGCGATTGTCAAAGTGCACAAACATTTTTAATCAGCTGAAAAGTCATTCGGGAAGAGTAAGGGCAAAGGCAAGAGCAAGAATGATTTCAGAGAATCCCAGAAGTCTAGAAAATCCACGTTAGAACTGGTCATTTCGTACAAGTACACATTCAGATGTTTCCGGTTGAACTAGCACTAATGAGATGTACATTTTCACTACAGATCTCATTTGTACGGGTACAATATTTATGCAATAACAGCCTTTGTTGCGTAAACAACAACGGTTTTTGATTAATCGTTAGCTTTCACAGAGGGCTCAGAGTTCAAACAGTAGATAGTATGTAAACCGACACGCAGGTAGAACTCATGGTAACCCCTGTTGTAACTGCACATTGTCGTTAGCCTAAACGGATGTTCTTCATACTAACATAATAATTCTTTACCGAGATTTGTCCTGCAGCCATAATACAAATACGTTTTGCAGACAGGAAACGTTTTGTGATTAAATTACTCTATCGCACAAGCCCCTCAATAACAGTACAGATAATCGCACATAATATTAGGCTGGTTATGAGAGATAAGCTGGTGGCCAGGGATAGACAGTCGTGCGCTGTTCCTAAATTTATTCTGATTTACCACAACATGAGGATGACACGATTTCTGGCGATAATTAACCAATATTAATTTTAACGAGCTTTGAATCATGCTGCTGTACGTTTCGGTATCGTTGCCTGACAAGGAGTTCAAGAAACTGCGAAGTGCAGCATAATAAAACTGAAAATCAGATCAAACCGTACAATCGGAAGTACAACCTACAGAGTACCTGCTGGCGCAGTATAATTATTTTTGTACTTATCGTAGGACTGTATAGCAGAAGAGTTCTGATTGCACAAACGGAACCTGTAAGTGTACTTTGCAGATAAAGGACTTTGAACGGGCATACTTACGCAACAACACCTGTATTAATCTTAGTGTACACATGTATAACAAGATCATTGAAATTTATCACAGATTTTATTGTTGCTTATCGAGTATATATGTACGTGATATGCAATCGGTCACGCGATAGCCGTTTATCACAAATGACTTCAGAATCTGCGGTTGACGAACAGTGTACTGATAATGTTTCAGCCAAATCTTTTTGCAAAACGTTTCCAGAGTTTGATGCGACATTAGAATTCACGATTTCTCTTTCGCGTTGATCACTGAATCAAAAGTATTAATAAGAGCGTAGCTCATTTGCTACAGATTAATGCCTGCATCGTTTCAGTCTTGCTGCAAAATCTTTGGAAGCCAACTGCTAATAAGGATTGCGGATTGACGGAATAATTCCCTCATCTCCACTCTTTTGCTCATAACTCAACAAAATGGAAAGGTGAGCTCACGATCAAAAATTTGTTATTCATTAAAGACATTTTAGGTACACAATAGGCACACCAAGATAAGCATTAGACAGATAAATAAGTTTGCCAACCATGGATGTACTGAATTTTTGTCATTGTATTAAAAGCTTTTGTGTATTGCTAGCCCAATGGTAACAGATAAGTCGTAGCAAATTAAGAACTTGTTATCAATTAAGAACTTCTACGTATACTTCTGTGTTACAGTGCAGCCGTTAGAAATACAAGTACGAGTACGTGAATTTGTTTAGGATTCTGGTGGAAGCTGCTCATCTGCACTTGATGAGTGCGCCATCGGATGAAGCCGACGCTCTTGGGACATGGGCGAAATCTTTACGTTCCAGCATAACCGGGCTGCCGTCCCCACATCCTGCGAAGGACGCTTTATCGACACCGTCACCTGACCGACGCGCATCGTATGTGCCTTTACCCCCAACACCTGACCGGCGTTATGACATGTCACACGAAAGCCGCGGTGTCGCCCTAATAATCAACAACAAAGCATTCAACGAGGAGCTCGATCTCGGTTACCGTGCTGGAAGCGATGTGGACGCCAAGACGCTGGCAGACCTCTTCAAAACCCTAAAATTCAAAGAGGAGAACATCCACAGTTACGATGACCTTTCCACTGCCCACATGCTGGCGGCGATGCGTCATTTTGCCGAACAGAACTACGATAACATGGATTGTTTTGTGTGCGCCATTCTGACTCATGGCAAAGAGGGTGTGGTGTTTGGTAAAGAGGGTGTCATCACACTGGAAGCGTTAATGGAACCGTTCAAAAACAGTCGCAACCAGAGTCTTGTGGGAAAGCCGAAGATCTTCTTGGTGCAAGCGTGCCGGGGATCGCGATTCGATGGGGGAGTGGAAGCCATGGAGAGTCGGATGGAAGCCGATGCACCGGTGAAGGTGGCGCTGGAGGCGGATTTCCTGTACGCCTTTTCCAGCTCACCGGGATACTTTTCATGGAGGAATTCAGCGCGCGGTTCCTGGTTTGTACAGGCACTGGGAAAGGTCATCAAGGAGAATGTGGAGCGACTACACGAGATCGATCTGCTGAGAATCTTGACGAGGGTCAATTATGAAGTAGCCTATGGGTTTGAATCCAATGTGCCGGGTGATGCACTGAAGCACCGCAAGAAACAAATGCCCAGCGTGGTGTCGATGCTGACAAAAGAGCTGTATTTTGCTTAATTGCAAAAACACGGTACTCCACATGCTTTATAATCGCTCAGATTGATAATTTGCTTTACTCTAGTCTCATGGTTTTCTTAGGTTTCTCCTAATCAAAGTTGTATGTGCACTTTCTGCCTTTAATCCTTTTCCAGCATGTCAAAGCAAATTTTTTATCCAACGTTGAGGATTGGTAAGTCCACCGTTGTGATTCAAACGACCGCACCACTAACAAAGCTGCTTGTTATTATTAGTATAATTAGTTTTGTATCGTCCATGACTGAAAAAGACCTGTCGAGCAAACAGCGCAATCTGAACTCGCAGCTGCGCAACCAGAAGCCTGTTTTCGCAACCTGGAACGTTAAAATAAATCGGTAATATCTCATAAGTTCGATCCTTGAATTGTACGAACCTCTTAGACTAAAACCAGCATGGTTCGATCTGTCGTCGCTCAATCGTCGAAGCCCGAAAACTTCGCACACTAGACAGCTTCCTCTACTTGTGCGTTCATCCGGCCGCACAATAGGGGAGCTGTATCGGCCACATTATCGTCGCCGCATTGAGAGCTATTTACAGCTAATGACACTCGGTTACGAGGAAATCGCCAAAAATAGAATTCTAGGACATATCCAAACGGGCGAGGTATAAAGAATGAACAGCATCACGAAAAACTATTGTGAAAGCGCTGATTCTCTTTGTGAGTTGGGGCCGACCGGCATGTCACGTACCACCGGAAAAAGACCGGACGGGATGACACTGATACGGGATGGGTTGCAGACGGACCGTTGCAGACCCTCATGTCGCTGGAAGCTTCAAGAAATGTGGCAGCGTAGCCAGGCTTGCTGAAAATTCAAAGCACAGAAAGCATTCATTTTTGAAAAACGGTTACAGACACAGTGCCTTTTTTATCCTCTAGTAATGGAATGGAAACCCTGGGAGTATTTGGACCGGCTTTAAGTGAATTGTTACATTGTATGGGTCGCAAAATCAGGGACTTGACTGAAGAAGCGCGTTCTACTGCTTTTCTCAAGCAGCGATTGTTATTTGTAAAGGGAATGCCACGGCTTTTTTGAGTATGTTACCTTTAGCCCAATAGAAGACCGGGACTTTGGTTGCTTTTTTTAATGTTTCAGTTGTAGCTATCAGGTAGGGTGTCAGCGCTTGCATTTTTTGTTTATTTCCAAACTAACCGAAGTTATGAAAGGGTGTCAGCGCTTGCATTTTTTGTTTATTTCCAAACTAACCGAAGTTATGAAAAGCTATTAAACCAGATAAGTTAAATTTTACTTTCGTTCGCACAAAATCAGACTTGCAAATTTTGAAAGAACGCCTTCGTACCGCCGTGCCGGTGACTACTAGTACGAGTACTTACTGCATATCTCCGCCAGTCAAATCGAGCGGTACATACTGTCAAATTTGTGATTTGCAAGGCCGCGCCGCCCTGGGAGGGGTGGGAGTCGTTCGACTCGGTGACGACGCGAAGGCCCATAAAGGCATAAACTGTTAAACACGTCCTTTCTGATGCTCCAGCTCGCCTCACGCATCTGCCAACTCGATTCGCGTCCCTTTAGTATCTCAAACTTGTAAGCCCATTTTGATTTCATTTTCGATCGTTTACTGTTTACAGTTTACCTACTCTTTCTCACGGTATTTATTGTCACTAGTATTTCCCTTACGTATTGTGGTGGTTCGTTTTTAATTATTTGTCTGGCCTTCGTCTCAAATCTACACGAACATGGAGTCGGGCAGGGTTTCGCAGACGCGCGTGGATGCGGCGGACTATCAGCGTAAACTGGCTTTGCGAAAGGTAACCATTTGTATGATAGATTCAAACCGTAATACTGGAGTTGAGGCAGGCATTCTTTAGAAATATCATTATTATTTCATATTTCAGGCGTACATCCAGCGCGCTAGAGGAAATGGCTGAGCTGAATAGAACGACTGAAGCCTTGCTGCAGAGACAAGCAGAACTGCGGGCTCGGGACTGCATCGACTTCCCATCACTTTTGCTGACGCAACCACCCCATCGCTGAATGAAGCTTTGCAGTTTGGTAACCTTGGCTGCACTGTGTGCTGGCGATCAAGCATTCTTTGATTGTTTGTTTGCAACTTCGCACTGTGTTTTGTTTTTAGCGTTCCTGTGTGGTGTGTAGTTTGTTGAGAACGCTGACAAATAAACTGAGTGCGTCAAGTTACAATATTCAGATTTTACTAATTCATTTGTGGAAATTTGAATAATTATTAGGCGCAAAATTCCTTAAAAAAAATAGAATTTTTCCGAATTATACGTCAGTCGCGAACAACCAGACTGCCTGTTTCAGCAGATTTGTCTAACTTGTAACCAAATACAGCGCGCCAGCGGTTTATTTAATTTACATAGACAAAATTCCAAAAAGGTTGAATGCATTCGTGTGCACCACAAGTCTGATTTATGTACCGATCTTCTTGAAATTTCGCGTATGAACGCACATACACATGAAGATCGTTTTTACACCGAACCACAGTTCCGGCAATTTTTCCATTTTAAAATAAATGTTAATTTTGTTTCAGAATGTAACAAAATGCTGAAAATCTGGTTCGGTATAACAGCGATCTTCAGATTTACGTCCATACTTCATTTATGTGCAAAATTTAAAGAAGAAATCGGTTTATAACGAGACTTTTCATACACCTGAATGCATTTAAACTTTCGAAATTTTTTTATAGCCAAAACTCCCCAACCGGATGTTGCGTACATAAAACGGTTTTCGATCACATCAGTGTGTAATGTGTATTGTACAATTCCTCTTGCTACAAAATGTCGTAAAACAGAGCAAAATCGTGTTTGGAAGCGTGCGAAAGTGAAAAGTTTCGTGTATGTACGCGAATTTGGTACCATCTACCGGGTCACTTCCCTTAAACAGTCAAAGTTATTTAAAGTGCCTATATGTATTAGATCGGCTTAATGGAGATACTGTTTGACAACAATATCACAACTATAATTTAAATGTCATAGAAAAAATAATTACAGTACACGTAATTGCAATAGATAACTATTGTTATTATCAACTAGTCAGCACAAGATCTTCGACAATTCACAGCTACCCGCAACGGCGCAGATTATCAAAATAAACTAAACGTTGACAAAATGGCAACACATTTGGCGCCGCAAAAAAAAGAGCAGCAACCTGCGCACCACAAAGGGGCCCTGGAAGCGGTTTTGCCTCTCCTGCTGGGGATAAACTAATCTCGACCTTTGCCCGTCGAACGTTCAAGGAAGCGCGATTTTGATTCCAAAACTCCGGCAGTCTAATGTGTTTATACGAGAATGGGTCTACTGATAATAATGTTATATTGTTATACACGATCTTCACACGAATATCTTTGTACTTTGTTGTCTAATATTTTATATCCTGAATGTATCCCAGGCAGTAGTTTTCTGTTGGTCTTGAATTTGTGTATCGCTGCTTTCATACGAGTACTTTTCATCAGGTCCATGATGTAAAATTCGTTAAATACGTTTTTATTGTTGTAGAAGAGTGGCAGATTGCATGATTATTGATTGTGTGTTGTCTTAAATCTACTAGGGAGGGTGCGGACACTGCGGAGTCATGTTGCAAGGACAATAAACTCCTCATCATTATTATTATAATTATTATTATAAATACTGTTGTAATGCAGTACTTAGTAAAAGCTGACTGAACAACTCCATACAGACCTTACTACATGTTTAGCAATCGTTAAGAAAGCGGCACACTTCATTTGAAATATATTGCAGTCATTGCGTCAGCTCTTTGCTGTGTTAATGCAATATCCGTCTGGCCTAGAACACCTGTGGCACGTTTCGTACCAAAGAAAAAAAGTGAATCGTTTTTTCTCTCCTTGTAGACACAGTAGACACCTGTATACAGGCTGTAGACACCCTGTAGTCCAATCGGTAGTCACCAGGATTCATAGGATGTATACAGCGTGTCTACAACGGTGTCTACAGGTTGTCTACAGACGTCTACCGCGGTATACGGGCAGCCCTTTTGAGGCTCAGCTTGATACTCTGCGTGTATACACCGGTAGTCAATTGTAGACAGCCCGTAGACACTACTGTAGACATACTGTAGTCACCTGATTTCTTAGGTTTCTTAGGTTTTCTTAGTATGTCTACAGGTTGTCTACAGGATGTCTACTGTACTCTACAGGTTGTCTACGAATGTCTAACGCTGTATACAGGCAGCCCTTCTGAGGTTCAGATGCTCTGCCTGTATACACCGGTAGTACCTGTAGACAGCCCGTAGACACCACCGTAGACAATTAGACATACTGTAGTCACCTGGTTTCTTAGGTTTTCTTAGCATGTATACAGGTTGTCTACAGGATGTCTACCGGTTGTCTACAGATGACTACAGTGACTACAAGAAGGAAAAAAGCGTTCCAGTTTTTTTCTTTGGTACGAAACGTTCCATATATAGTTAACAGACGGTAGAACCGTGTTGAGTTTTGAATTTTTGGAAATTAAGAAATCTTTTTGGTGTCAGCGCAACGTTAAAGAGACACACATGTTAACGACGCAGTGCCGTAAATGCTGAGCGCTGCATGGCGCATTGGTATCAGCAACACTTGTCAAGCGTGACTTCTGCAACGGTGGAGCGGACCATCCAGTCCTTAAGAACCATCATCCGGGAACAAGCACCGGTGACATATGGTACTTGCTCCATCCCAACCAAAGACTTCACCTTGTATTACGGCAGATCTGATGGTGCACGGTGAGTAGTGAAAACACTGGAAACCGAAAACTGCTGCAAAGGAGTAAGTTTAGGCTTTGGCGCAAAGTAGAAGTGCGGTAATTATACGTACCACAATTTGCGAAACATTTTTAATATATATTCTACGTTTCGTTTACTTTGTGGTCGCATCATCTGCAAATTTCTAGGCGAATCCACCTCCATAATGCTTCCCCCGCTGAAATGGAATTACTTTTAAGTGCAGCGGTGTCAAGGGTAAATAACCAAGATGTGTATGCCGAAAATGATCGCAAAGCCGGGAGCCTGGACGTGGAAGATTTTGCCACCAATTTTAACGTGGAGCGCTCCGGTATCCTGGCACGTATGAAGAACGATCTGCTGGATCGCGAAAGCATTGCCAAATCGGTGGACTGCGAATTGTACAAATTGAGTGTATGCGGTGAGTGGTAAAATTCATGCAAGAACGGCCCAAAACGACCAAAATCAGGAGTGTCACGAACATAAATTTTATGTAGAATTGTACGAGTACAGATACGAGTACATTAATTTTATGAAAAGTTCGACAGAGTAGAATGGCTGTATTCTAAAATTCGATATTAGCATTCTGCTGATTGGATTTACAGTACATTAAAAATGATAGATGATCAAATAATTTGTATCCGTTGTGGTGAACAGACGTTCTTTTGGACTGACCTTTCAGGCGAAGGTGGTTGTTTTAAAGTGCACAAGGACAGCCCAAAAAGCGCTAACATGTTCGGATCACTGGTAATCGTCTTCCCTGTCCCCCACACTGGCGGTGCAGTGCTTCTTCGGCGCAGCAGCAAATTTGATTCCGTCCAGGAATGGAAATTCGACTCCGGCCGGGAACTTGCCACAGTAGCGCAGCCATCGGTTGGATACGCTGCTTTCTCTAGCGACGTGGAACACGAGGTGGCGTTTGTCCAGTCCGGCTACCGGGTCGCCCTGACCTACAACCTATTCCTTAGTGGCGATGACTATAGCGGCAAACACACACTACCGGCATCCAAAACTGTTGACGTACACGAGACGGCATTTAAAGCGGAAATGGAAAAACTGCTGGTTAATCCCACATTTCTACCGCACGGCGGTTGTATTGGGTTTGGGCTTCAGCACGAATATCCCATCAACAACAAGACAAAGGCCAGTGCTTTGGCCGGTTGCCTGAAGGGCAACGATGCCGTAATCGAACGGGTGTTCAGACACTTGGCGCTGCCGATTCAACCGAAAATTCACACAGCATCCTCGAAGAATCCTGATTCCTATTTAGGAGAGTTGGAAGCATTCCAGTATTTGACTGACAGCGTGGTAACCTGTGGCGGGTATGAAGATGTTGACAGCCTGTTCGCCAGGTTTTTAGGGGAGAAAGGAGTTCTACTGGCACGACTCCCGGACGGCCCTTCTGAACTCTCCGCATATTATACATATAAAATTAAGAAAAACGAAATGGACAACATTCCCATCGTTGACGTTGAGTGGATTACTTGTCCTACGAAATACAACAGGATAAGGTTTGAATTCGCGTATGAAATACATGATGAGGACGCGTATGAAAAAAGTGTGGGTTCGGCGCATTTATCTGGGTCGGTCTGCCTAATTGCCAGAATCGGTCCTCCTGGGAAACGCGTTTGAGCTGTGGAACGGCGTTCCGTATTCTTGTTGTTCTGTGATCAATTCTAATGCATGTTGCGAAAGTTTTGTACTCTGTCGTTGTTCTCTGTTTCCTGTTTGAAATTCCTGATTCACGGCACGTTCTTTTTAATCTTTAAATGAAATTGTTCTTCTGCCTAAGCTCGGAAGTTCACGACTTTAACGGAGCACGCTATCACGCAGCGGCAGTTTTGCCATGCTGTCAATAAATCGTAAACAAATTAAGTTATCCCTAGCGCCAGAAGCTGTCTATAGCTGCGTTAAATAGCTCCACCGAATTGCTATGCCAAAAACATTGCTATGTAATACAGAATAAAACGAAAGTGAAACTAAAGATAAACAAGCAGATAAAATTTGCAATACAAAAAGTGCTGTACCTGACTTGAGAAGTTAAAAGTTACCTAAATGTAATAAAATAACGTTTCAGCGGAAATGGCAATGCACACCTGGCTACAATAATTACGCGAAAAAATCATGAACTATTAGTTGAACACTTGAACTCTTCTAAATTCTTCCGTTCAGCACAAAATAAAGGTCAGCGCGAACTATATAAAAATACACTATTTATACAGTAGTACACACCAGGAACTATTATTAATACTGTACTCTTGATTTCCAACATTAGTAAGTAGTAACCACTCTGAGTTCTCGAAAATCGTAATAAAGCATGACACCATTGCGCCTCGGTGTACCAGGCCTGCCTTTTTAAATACAGCTTCCCGGAATGTTTTAGATGGAGGTCATCAGGCAGGACGCGTCCGATCACTTCGGCCGCGTTACATTTCGGCCGCACAGGTTCACTTCGGCCAACGTTCATTTCGGCCGTGGCTCATTTCGGCCAAAACTCAATTCGGTTAACGCTCATTTCGGCAACTGGACGTTTCGGCCATCATAGCTTTTCCTGGGTTTTCTACATTTTCTAGGTTTTTTTAGGTTTTTTATGTTTTCTTAGGGTTTTTAGGTTTTCTGAGGTTTTTTTGAGGTTTTGTAGGTTTTCTTAGGTTTCTTAGGTTTTCTTAGGTTTCTTAGGTTTGTTCAGTTTTCTTAGGTTTTCGGTTTCTTAGGTTTATTGTGGTTTTTTAGGTTTGTTATGGGGTTTTTTAGGATTCTTTAGCTTTCTTAGGTTTCCTTAGTTTTCTTAGGTTTCTTAGGATTTCTTGGATTTGTAATGGTTTCTTTTCTTTTTTTCGATTTACTTATGTTTTCATAAGTATTCTTAGGTTATCCTTAGGTTCTTTAAGATATGAAGACTGTTTTCATTTTTTGTGCTTTCCTAGATGTCGTAAAGTTATGTTTTCAGTAGTCTCCCGTGACGGCAGACTTCGTGGCTTCGCGTCATCGGCGTTATGGCGGTCGACGAGGTGTTAATCAGAACAATCGGGAATATGAGACATGATGGTGACAGTAACTGCTCAAGCAAATTGTGTGTGCAAAACTAAACAGAAACTGATCAACTTTTTGTGCGTCAGGACTTAGCTACTCTGTAGTTACACGGTGCATATTAAAAGTTTTGGAAAACCCAATTTCCGCCAAAATGTGCTGTGGCCGAAGTGAATTGCGTCCGAAATGAATGACGGCCGAAGTGAGTGGCGGCCAAAAATCTTTGGCCGAAATGAGCGCGGCCGAAATGAAAACGGCCGAAGTGATCGGTAGCCCAGGTAGGATGTTCATGGTTTATACTAGATGGAAGACTACACCAGAGTGATCTGCTAGAAATCCTGAAGAGGGTCAACTCGAAGTACGCTATGGGTCAGTCCTTTGTCCCTCGAAAGACAAAAGAGGGCAAAGTTGGCCGTTGCACTAGCTTTCCCGTAGATAAAAGTTTTTAGTTTTACATCCTCGTTAAGATTGAATGAATTGAATCGCCGGTACAAGTTAACTCGTGAGGGCTTTGCAATACAAGGATTTTGTTGCATCAGAACTTTGCTGTCTGTAACTGTATTCTGTCGGTTTGGTCGTGAAAATAACGGTCTCGTAGTGACTTTAGTCTCGCCCGCCAGTTTAGCTTGCGGAGCTTGTAGTGAACAGAAATTCATTACCAATTTTGGAAGCTTGAGAAATTTTTTTCCTTTTTCGTGTCAGCGCAATGTTAATGCTACGTTACTGTCGTGTGTTACTGAGCGCTGCACGGCGGCCTCGGTATCGGAAATACTTGTCAAGCGTGGCTTCTAAATCTTTGAAACAAACCATTCAATCTTTGAGAACCATCATCTGCGATCAAATCCCAGTCACGTATGGCACATGCTCCATCCCAGTCAAAGATTTCACTCTGTATTACGGCAATCTGGATAGCGCACGGTCAATACATCTGACCATGTAATGTATAAGTGTAATCGAAAGATGCTACAAATCAGAAATAATCAGTAGCTTAGACTTTTGTGACGACATTGTTAGTTGCGCCGCACCACCATTAGCCATTACGATTGTAGATGTATCAACATGCATCATTCTTCCCCGGCTGAAGTGCAATTACTTGCTCGTGCTTGTGACCCAGCCCCATTCAGGATGAATAACCAGGATGTTTATGACGAAAATTATCGCAAAGCTGGCAGACTGAATGTGCAGGATTTTGTCACAAATTTTGACCCGGAGAGCACTAGTATTCTGGCGCGTGTGAGGAATGATTTGCTGGATCGCGGAAGCGGTGTCAAATCAGTGGGATACGAGCTATACAAATTGAATGTAGACGGTGAGCAAACGAAAAGACAAAGTCAATGTCAGCAACATACGAACTCTGCTGCTATAATTATAAGAAAACAGAGCGCAGTGAAGTTGCGGTTCGAAAAATTCGTATTCGATATTATGTAATCTGCATAACTGTTTAGTATTATTTTGTGTTCGCCTGGTGGTGAAACGCCCTCCTTTTCTGCCTTAGGTGAAAGTGGTCGCTTCCAGTTACAGAAGGACACACCAAGAAGCACCAGCATGTTTGGAACACTGGTAATCGTCTTCCCTGTACCCCACACTGGTGGTACCTTAGTTCTCCGGCGTGCTAGCAAATTTGATTCGGTCCAGGAATGGAAATTCGACTCCGGCCGGGAACTTGCCGCGGTTGCGCAGCCGTCGGTCGGATACGCTGCTTTCTACAGTGACGTGGAGCCCGAGGTGACGGTTGTTCAGTCCGGCTACCGCGTCGCCCTGACCTACAACCTGTTCGTTAGTCGCACTGACAATAGTGACAAGTACACACTACCGGTATCCAAAACCGTTGACAAACACGACGCGGCGTTCAAGGCGGAAATGGAGAAATTGCTGGCCGATCCGACATTTCTGCCGCGCGGCGGTTGCATTGGTTTTGGACTGCAGCATCAATATCCCATCAGCGATAAGACAGACGCCAGCACACTGGCCGGCTGTCTGAAGGGCAACGATGCCGTAATTGAACGGGTGTGTAAGCGGTTGTCACTGCCGATCCAGCCGAAAATTCACACCACAACCCGGAGCGCTCCGGATTCGGATAATTTGGGAGATCTAGAAAACTTCCAATATTTGACTGACAGCGTGGTTAGCCGTGACGGGCGTCAAAATGCCGACCAGCTATTTAGAAGGTTTCTGGAAAATAACAGTACCCTCCTGATCCGACTCCCCAGAAGAAAAGAAGCGTTGAAATGGTCACCGGACAAACATTAACATCTTGTTTATGAATAACAGACATATTATTTATTTACAAACACTCTAAACATCAATAATTCGGCGTAGCTACAATAAACAATAACATCTGGAACACAACAATAATTACGGCTATAATTACAACAACGTTAAACCCATTACAACAACAAACTTATGTTTTTATTTAGTTAGCTATATGGTTATAATCATAATCCTAACAGTAAATTACGTTATTAACTTAAATTCTTAAACAATAATAATAACTATCGCAATAGTATTCTGTATTTAACTATGATTAATGTTACCATAAAGTAGTTTAGTTTAAGTAAATTATAATGATGTTAGTGCAGTGGTGTTGTTCACACTAAGTATCCAGACGTCGGCTGTTGATTTCGAGTGAAGTTGTGCATGGCGCGCCGGGAGACATTCCTTGAGATGGACTGCCTATTCATATGCCGACCTAATTCAGCATGACGCTGTCCGGTGACCTACTTTTCATGGAATGTCTCCCGACGCGCCATACACATAGTTATAACAATCAGTTAATGCTGGACGCCCGTTTTGTTACCTTACTCCGCCTTATCACACCTGTGATACACTGCGAGAGATGAAAAGGCGGTGCTGGCCACCGTATTTTCTACCCAATAGTGTCTATGTGCGGAGATGGGCACTCAGTGGCTGTAAAATCGGAATGTTTACACTCCCTTTGTCTCTCCACAGTGTATCACAGGTGCGATAAGGCGTGGCGATGATCAGATCGGTAAACTGACGCCCTAAGAACTGCTTGCACGAGAACCACTTTGTGCAACGATAATGACTACTGTATATAAATTTTCTACACAGTAGCTTTGTCTGTTTAATTTATGTATGTACTCGTATAGTTATACTGTGTACGTACTGTGTATGCATTTTGTATGTACAGTAATCTGTTTATTGCTGTAGTTCACCGTATGTTTACAATTTTTTGTGTAATGAGCAGGCTATCATACCCATTCTATCATACTCATACTGGCTATCATTCTAATAATTATTATAAAAGTTAAGCCCTGGGGCCTCACGAGATTGTTTGGCGGGGTCCAAATGGACGTACACCTCTTAGCAATGTACTCATACTGTATTTTGTGGGACGTCGGTTTTACATGGCTAGTGGACAGACTAATAAAGCGTATTCGATCCTGGTACGTTACATTGTGAGGGAGAACACGGTTGCTGTACCACCCTGGAAACTGATAACTGATGCTGGAAAAGCTAAGGATACGGCACCCAAGGGTTTTTTCTTGATCTTATTGAACTGGATTTTCGGACAACTACGTCGTTATTCTACACTATACGGTAAAAATAGGTACCTACTACTGACTATTTCGATGCGGTTT